CTCGTGGGGGAGTTGAACTCTGGATAGGTCGCCATCCTCGAATCCAATACTGATGCTACCCGAAGCGATAGCATTGACCGAGGATATTTTCCTGAGCTTGTGGGTTACCCTCAGTCTGGATCTGTATACCCCCTCGGACTCTTGATCATCTTCAGACCTGCCATGTATTGCATGAATGACTTTTACTTGCGTAGCTTCCACCTTGCGGGGATAGACCTCGCGGGGCTTTGCGTACTCCTTTGTCATGAGGTAATCTGCCAACTCACCTCTGACGATCATATTCTCCACCTGTCGCCTAAGGGATCTGCAATCATTGGTTGAATGCCCATAATCTCGATGATAAGCGCAATGCTTGCTTTTGTCCCTTTGCTCCAGGGGTTGCTTTATTGGCTGCGGAGTTGTGAATTTCATCTTATTCTCTTGGAAAAGCCGAGCCAAGGTAGTTCGGAGAGGTGTAAATCCTTCCTCTACCCTTTGCCTTTTTTCAGGTGCCTGGGTGATCGGCCTTGAGGACCGTTGGCTTTTCTGAATCTTTGGAGTTGGAATTCTTTCTCGAGGCTTATTCTCCACCGTCACGAGGGTGGCGTGCTGCGCTCGGTGGGCTATATTTTCCTCGAGCCGAATGTAGATCTGGGCCATGGCATTGAGAGTCTGTATGTCGGGAGGAGAATACTTGACTAAGGAAGTGTGGAACTTCATCCCCTGAATCATCGCAAGTTTAAATGTCTCTATAGCAGTTGCGAGATGACAATCCGCTATTTCTGAGGCTTCCATGTTGAATCTTGATAAGAAATCCTGCAATGTTTCCCCCCTCTTTTGCCTTACGGTGAAGAGGCTGGCAATGCTCTTCTTTTGTTTCTTATTTCTGCAATACTGTGTCAGGAACATGGTGCACAGAGTTATGTAATCCGGGATGGACTTATGCGGTCTATTCCTGAACCACTCTAGTGCTGCTCCTGTCAAACTGGTAGGAAAAACTCTGCACATCCAAGGATTATTACGATAATCCAAAGCCATCTTTTGAGCGTAATGATCTAAGTGGCGAGAAGGATCCCCCGTTCCATTGAACTGGGTGAAAGAAGGCATGGTAAATTTCTTGGGCCTCTTAACCTGATACACATCGTCAGTGAAAGGAGTTTTGACCAAGGAATTCTTGTGTTCTCTAGCCATCTCAGCAGGTATCTGAATCTTCAGGAGTTTTTTCTCATCAAAGGCATCCTGAACACTTGCTCCATCTGGGATTCCATTGGACCACACCGTGAGCTTATGGCTGGATTCGACTTGCTCATCCTGTGTGCGACGAGGGACGTTATCTGAATCCGCAACCTCGAATCTTGCCCTCTGTTGTTGCTGAACCTCATTCGACTGAGCCTTATTGGGTCGTGCCCCATTAGGTGGAACCCCATTAGGCCGAAGTCCGGTAATCAGAGGAATATTCTGATTAGGGGGTGCTGCTGTGTCACCCATTGGTGGCGGTGGTGCCAACTGCGCCATCGCCGTTTGCAGAGTGTTATTCTGCTGTTGAAGCAAGGCGATCTGAGCCACGCTTGCTTCGTTTGCCTGACGAAGTACGTCAAACTGGTGTAGAAACTCTTCACGCATCTTCTGCATCAACTCCGTTTGTTGATCCGTTGAAGATCCTCCGTTCGACATTCTGGATGGTAGTTGCAGGATTCACCTGTGAAACAAAAGTGGGAATATATTTGCACACGTTCCCACAGACGGCGCCAAAGTGTAGGTGCAAAATTTCGCCCAACCAATTACAATCGAGAGAAAATAATACAACACACTCAACAAACAATCAGAATAAACAAGAGCATTGACTATTGAAGAATTGAATTGCTTTCCCCTTTATTGGAGGTCTCGACCTCTATTTATACACAAAAGTTGGTAGAATTATGGTAGGACTCGCGTTACTTGTCCTCCAATTCTTTCCATATATGACTTTCTTTACAAATAGAGTTCTTTCCATTGTATGGTATTTCCTATGTAGAATTTGTTTTGTATAAAAACTTTCCATCCGAGTTGACTCCTTTGTTAAATAGGACTGAGCCATATTTAGTTATACTTGGGCCGGATGCGATTTGGTGTAAGTGACTTGACTAATGAATCAAAACTCCAGCAGCGGTGATGTTGGGCTGATCGGTACTTTTGCCTAGCTTCGGAGGCCCACCATCAATGATAATGGGTTAAAGCACAACGTAACTTGGGCTTGATCTAGATAGGCTTCTGAGATCTCAAAAATGCAAATTTGTATGGCAGTGACGTGTCTCATTCTTTCCCTCCACAGTATGGAAGAGAGAATTTTTAGCAAATTTGGCTATTTATGATATATGTTATATATATATATACACACACACACACAATCACATGCCATACACGTCCTTTGAAAAACTATAAAATTAAACACGAAATCATAAATTTTTTTCTATTTCTAATAAGTTTATATTTTTAGTAAACTGCTTAGCAAGTAGATTTATTAGAAGTTGAGAGAATTGAAAATGATTGGTAAGTAAATACTATTGTTCTTACTTAACCCCCCCCCCCCCCCCCCCCCCCCCCCAAAAAAAAAAAAAAAAAAAAAAAACTATTTTTCTTTTATAATTACTGAAAAAATAAACAACAATTTTAATTGCACCCATCTTTAATAATTACTGAGAAAATGAGGCAGACTGATATAATATAAATGTATATGTGACTGTGTATATATCATGCATGTTGAGGTAAGCCTCACAAAAAAGTGAAGCTCAAGTAAAGCCTGAATCTATCTTGAGCCAATTGTGTTTGCAGGTGATGAAGGATAAGACAAATTGATTTGATATTAAATTGTGTACACATGTCCATGTAATAGTACTATTATATTTCCTATTTTATTTATAATAAATTACTCTTTAAGTTTGTTTACACGTGGATTTGGAAGATACTTGTTCAAAACCGAGGACTTTTTTTTGTATTTTTCTTCTTCATAAAATGCCGGAGAAATAGGTTATAGATACAAACAAGAAACCTTTGTTGAAGTGGATTCTATATATCAAATCAGTAACAAATTGGCAAAAGCTAGTGTGAAACTGAATGATGCCAATTAATGAAGAACACCCAAGAAAGTAAACCAAATCACCATATGCTCTAGTTTCGGTGTTATAAGCTCCGTGAAGATAATATATAGGTGTGTATTTAACCAAATTAATATATTATATTATTTAATATAGGAAAATAATAAAATTGAGGTTCGGTATTTGTTAACTTGACATGGCAATTGATGAGATAGATACGTCATATTTAGAAAAAAGATTATAATAGTTGAGCTGGTACAATCGAGGAGATTGAGTGTTTAAGTTTCGGTGAATACATGAATATATATTTACTTAACCTTCTACATTAAAATAAATAAATAAAAACATAGAAAACAATATTGTTGAATTCCATCCACTAGAATCGCGAAAACAATCCAAAATTTTTTTTATGGCATTATATATATATAGTTGCAAGCTCTTGCATATAATGTGAAAGCATTGGAAGTGAGAGAATCCAGTCTCAGCGTTCCTCCTTTAATAATAGAGTTGACTACAACAGCCCTTCTATTTAGCTCATTCTCTATATATATATGATGCTCCTCTGATGTTGCAATTTCATAAAATATCATGCTCCAAAATGTACTGGACAAGAAACCACCTGAATCTCTTTTGTAATACACGGGACAGCACCTTTTGCGTTCACATTTTGGGATTACTTGTACTCGAAATTGAGTGGGAAAAAGATCTGCACAATTAAAAGTAATCAGAGTTCAAACTTCTATAGAAAAATATTAATTTGGGACATTGAATCCCAGAAATGATTATTAATTATGTGTCTAGCCACATTATTTACTTAATAAGTTAATAGTGTATAAAAAATCAATTCGATTAGAATATAGGTAATAATTGTGGAAGCCACAAGAAGGATTAGAAAATAGGTAATAAATGTGGAAGCCACAAGAAGGGTTAAATTTATTTATTTATTTTTGTTTTTTTTTTATCATTTGAACCTATGATTATAGGGTGGGGATTTAAGGTCTGATCTTTACTACTTGGATAATATTGCCGCACCTGAATTGTATAATAGTTCAAATATTCCAAAAAATTAGTAAAAATTGTAAGTGATTAAAAAAACCCTTGATTTGAATGGTATGTCCTCCACCTTCTTTATAAGAGTAAGTTGAGGGTTAAATCTTAAAAAAAAAACATGAGTAAGTTAAAAGTTAAGCTTCGAAAAGAACTAGTGCATGGGTACAATTATACTTATCAAAATAATAAGGGTCACACAAGTGGAAGAGATTTTACGAGCCTTAAACAAATTTCTACATTTTGGGATCATTTATTCCATCAGGTGTTTATGAATCCACTACAAATATATATATTTTTTTCCGAAAAGGTAATCTATATATATGAGAGAAAAAACTGTACAAGAAATTAAAGGCACAAAGGTAGAAATTAAAGGCACAAAGGTAAATAGTGCCAAAACAAAAGTCTACACACCTGTATAGAAGAGAAAGGGAAATTAACACTGGCTTACGCAATCATCAGCAGATTAGGGCCATGACGGCTCATATGGTATCATATTTCAAGTTCCATTTTTTTGTAGGTGCAAATAATTTTTTGGAGTTACACATGATTAGAAGTTCGAGCTTTAGTCAATTGGTGTGAGAGCAGCTTACATAAATTTCATGAATTAGTCAGAATACAACTCCAAACACCCCAGCTATGGAGAAAAAAAAGTTGATAAAGCTAACAAAAGTAAACTAGAGAGATAAGGTACGGAAAAAGAGAGATAAAAAAATAATATATATATAGAAAAAGGGAGAGAGAGAGAGAAGAAAGAGCCCTCTCAATTAATCAATAAAAAAATGCCAATATCCTAACAAAGAATGCGGCAAGCTCCATCCCTTCCTTCCTTGTATGACCTCACAAAAGTGTCTATAAATAAACACCCTTTGGACATCTTAGAAGTTGTGTGCGCACTCAATATTAACCTTTTTTTTATATAGTGGATTGTGGAGAGACATATCCCTAACCACATAGTGTCGACATGGGCTGTGAGGATGAGATTTTGGTTGAGAAAATATGTGAGCTATATGAGAAGATCTCAAAGCTTGAGAGCCTAAAACCATCCAAAGATGTCGACATGCTCCTCACCCAACTCGTCGTCACGTGCATCCCACCATCCCCTATTGATGCAACCAAGCTGCCCAAAAGAGTTCAAGAGACGAGGTCCAAGCTCATTAGGCTCTGCGGAGAGGCAGAGGGGCATCTAGAGAGCCATTTCTCAACCATCCTAGGATCATATGACAACCCACTCGACCATCTCACCATCTTCCCATACTATTCCAACTATCTCAACCTCAGTCAGCTCGAGTTCAACATCCTCACCAAAAACTACGCCCACGTCCCTACCCGGGTGGCCTTCGTGGGCTCCGGTCCGCTCCCTCTCACCTCAATTGTCCTCGCTTCCCGCCACCTGACCGCCACCACATTTCACAACTACGACATTGATCCGTCCGCCAATTCAATGGCTTCTCGCCTAGTTTCATCCCATCCGGACTTGTCTAAACGAATGTTCTTCCACACTGCCGACATCATGAACGTGACTGACGAGTTGAAGGACTACGAAGTGGTGTTCTTGGCTGCATTGGTGGGCGTGGGAAAGGCGGAAAAGGTTCGAGTCATCAATCATTTGGCCAAGTACATGGCTCCCGGAGCTATTTTGATGCTCAGAAGTGCTCATGGTGCTCGAGCTTTTCTGTATCCGGTGATCGATCCTTGTGACCTTCATGGATTTGAAATGCTTTCGGTGTTTCATCCTACGGATGATGTTATCAATTCTGTCGTCACAGCGCGTAAGTTTCCAATGGCCTTGCACTCACTTGATCAGAGGCTTGTTGGCCCTATTAAATTTCCTTGCAAGTGTTACGAAATCCAAGCCTTCAATCCCCTCAACCAGCTGAAGATGATTGAAGAGGACTAGAGGACCATTTCTCTATTTCGCACTCTCTCCTCCATCTATGGTCTATGATGTCCTGCGTATGAAAATTCGCATTGTGATCGACTTTGTATTACTTTTAAGTTTGTCTTGCTCTTTATCTGCTTGCTAAGTGTGTCGATTTTGTGTCTTTTTATCAAGCTTTTCAATAAATAAATGAAATGAAATGATCTTTCAATTAATTTGAGTATTTCACATTTCCTCTAATGAGTATAAGTTTGTTAAGCAATGTATATATGTATAATGTATGCTATGCTATGCACATACCTAGCTATATGAATGTATATGTGTTCTTCAATTTCCTTCGCGTCACGCTATGGTTTTTTTCATTTCAGCTGTACGTTTAAACTTAATTTTCTTCAACTACCCCAAGACTTGTAAACCATTCCTAAGCTCTTATAAGGCCTTAAAACAAACTTATATATATATATATATATATATATATATATATATTTATTTATTTATTTATTTATTTATTTATACACACACAAAACCTTTACCTTGCACGGTTTGTATTTTGACTTTAATGCTCTAACCTGAAGGCAGCTAAAAGAAACAGCATATTGTTCAAACTGTAACTGTAATCTGTGGCTACAAGTATTGAGGGTTGTTGCTTTCTGATATCATCATTTTCATGCACCTTCTTCTTGATCTTCTCATCTATTATATATATTTATATATATTTTGTTCTATTTCAAGATGGGACAACACTTACCTATTTAGGGAATCAAATCGAGTTGAAGAAGAATGGAAGAACTAGATAGAGAAGAAAACAAAAAAAAGCTCGCATTGTCGAAGACTGTTTTTTCGTTCAATTCTATGATCACAATTTGTTGGTTTTCACAGTTAACAATGGCAAATCGTCATGTAGCATAAGTCCATTTTAATTAGCTTGTCTAATAGTGGAGTTGTTTTAACCATACAGCATTTCAAATTATTATATGGTTCTTTGACTAAATAGTTGAGGTTGTAACGATCCTTGTAAAAGTAGGTCCACATTTGCAGCTTCATAATGTAACAAAAAAAAAAAAAAAAAAAAAAAAAAAAAAACAATTCATTTTTCTTTTATCCCGAGAGATTTGGGCGCTCTACTAATTAGGTCATTGGATATGTTATATTAGCTTAATTCTTTGATGCAAAATATGGCAAAAATGTTCAGAGACCAAAGCATATATATATATATGCATATAAATATTGAACCCAAAAACTGAATTTTGTACCGCAAACATTACAGCTGAAAAGCCCAAGAGAGAAGACTCTTGTTCAGCCTCTCTTGTTAGTCATCGTAAGTTGGGCTCATATAATAAAAGCCCCTTCTCAATTTCCAGTCCTGGTTAGTCAATGGCATGCAAATTTATCCTGCTTTCACAGGCCCACCATTGTCAAACAATCCCCACCATTTTTGCTTATAGAAAGCGAAGAAATTAGGGCTTAGTTTATAATTTTTGAAAATAGTTGCAAAGAATTTAGAAAATAGAAAACTATTTTTAGACAAGTATAAAACATAGTTATCTGAAAACAATTTTGCATGGTTTATGAACAGTTTTCTATTATCAGAAAACTGAAAATAGAAAACTGTATAAAAAAAACTTTGTTTGGTTCAGTTTTTTTAAAACTATTATCTGAAAATTCAGTAAAAAAAATGGTTGTTTCCAGATAATTGAATTTTTAGAAAACTGAACCAAATAAAGTTTTTGTACAATATTTTGTTTTCGGAAAATTTTTAAAATTACAAATCAAACAGACGCCTGCTTGGTTTGTAACTATGAAAATAATTTTCTGTTACGAAAAACAAAAAACAATACAAAAATCTTTTCTTGGTATTTTCTGCCGTAAAAATAGTTTTCATAAACTCAGAAAACATAGAACAATTTTCAGATAATTATAAAAGACTACTTTCAGAAAACTGAACCAAGTAGAATTTTTTGTACAGTTTTCTGAAGAGAAAACTGTTTCCATAGTTATAAAGTTCAGAAAAATGTTTCCATAGTTATAAATCAAACCAACCTGTTATAAAAGAAAACTGTTTGAATAGTTATAAATCAAGCAAACCCTGTTATAAAAATGTATTTTTTTACATAATTATAAAAAATTATTCTATAAGAATAATTTTTTGTTTTTTAAATTTTTGGAAATGATTTTGAGAGTCATTTCAATCTTATTCATTACTGCGTCATTTTCATTTATGGATAATTTTACTTCCTAAAAGGACATCAGTCATCAGATAGGACAGTTGTGGTTTTTCAAATTTTTATCCGAAGATGCTAGGACGACATGACTTTTTTGTGTCTTAAGATATTTCATGCCCATCTAACTTTGCATGCATTTAATGTGTTTGACTTTTTAATGAGTGATGCCATTGGTCCCAAATCTCTCAGGTTTTGATTGATCACTAGACTATAGTGTCTTTTTTTAACTATATTCGATAACTTAATTATGCGCTAAATTGCAATCAATCTTAATTTATTAATTTTTTCTGAATAGATTAAGTGCATATCCAATGAAATTGAAAAAGAAAAACAACAATTAAAGATCAGCAATATTATGAACTGTTGAATCAAGCATGGAAGAATACAAGGAAAAAAAAAAAAAACACACACACACACTAAAGGAACTGTGGAATTAGCGACCAAGTACCAGCCCCATCAATATTGTCACCACTGCTATCACAACTCCACAACCACCATTTCCACGGCCACAGCCATAACCACCACCGCCGGCAATGTAGCCACCAACACTACCGCCGGCACTATAACCACCATAACCAACACCCCCGCCGGAGCTGTAACCGCCATAACCAACAGTATCACTGGGACTGCTAGCACAGGGCAACTGACATGCCACATTGTTATTGCTATCCAACACCAACTGACAATATGGATCGCAAGCTGCCAATCCCACCTCCACTCCCAGTGGAGATTGGCACGGCAAGCACGCACCATACGCAGGGTAGAAATAGAAGTTGATTGAACATGTCATTGCAGCTGTGTTGCGCATCAAATCCAACAACTCGTCGGCTTCTTGAAACGTAATTTTGCCCGTCTTGAAACCTTTTTGAGCTTCCTCTCCGTAGTACTTGGCAATGTAATCCTCACTCATCTGCCATATCTTTCTTCTCGCCATGTTAAGGGCTCCTCCTGCCAATACTCTGATCAGGTATGACAACTCCTCAGCTTCAAGTATCAATTCACGGCCCCTATATATATATATATATATATAGATTAGTTCAATTGTATTAATCAATGAAACCAAAAGAAAAAGGAAGTCCAGAATTGAAAGAAAGAAGGAAATGTATGTTGGTATCACCTTGCTTGTGCGCCTAGACTAGAGTTGTTGGAAGATGAGAGTAAAGCAGCTGTTGGTATGACCATGAGCAAGAGCATATGCTTAATTGAAATCAAAGCCATTTTTTATTCTATTTTTTCAACTCTCTTCAAAAGAGATACTATGTACCAAGAAGGGAGAGAGTGAGAAACCAAAGCTAGCAGGAGCCCCGAGAGAGTATATAAATATAAGGGTAATAATGATTTTGAATCCAACTCCGATTGATTTACATGAATAGAGACTGACAGTAATGTCACGATGATATCAGTCTCTATTTAGTCACACAACCGCTTTTGCTTCGTTTCTTATTTGTACTGTACTTAAAATTTTCTAAAATTTGTAGTATCCAAACATTTTCGAAAAAAGATACCAAAACCAAAAAAATCTTAAGTAACCTTTTTAATTAGTCATTTTACTTCAAAAAATCTTATGACTAGTATAACATTATAAAGTATGTTTTCTCGATTATCGTTGAATATACTCCATAATAGAAACGCTGCTTTTGTTTCAAATTAAAACAAAAATACAAAGCAAAACAGTAGTCAAACAGAGCCCGCTTTAACGTTTAGGGTCTAAAAGCCTCCCGTGAGGTAGGTGCCTCTACTTAATGTGAAGTCGACATTCACTCCAGATGCTTGAGCCAACGAAAGGAAAACTGTAACTTACACGAGAGAGTCATTATTTGACTTGTATCAAGACTTTAAATGCTTAGACCCTGAAATAGACTTCTGTATTTAATACAGTACATTTTAGGTTAAAGGAGGTCCATAGATTGTAGGAAAATTTTGAGTCCCACAGATGATTCTACCCTGCATGTAACACAATTGCTAGATTTCATATACCTCTCCATGTGCGATGGGCTCAACCACCCTCTTCTTAATCCGACATCGAATTGTTTCAAGTCACAATGCACGTACCATCCCTTCTTTAATCAAACATGCACCAGCAATTATCAGAAAAATTTCTTTGAGTAGCCCAGAGGGGTTCGAACTCCCGACCTCCTGTGAGAGTATTTGCTGTTAGGTTATGATGACTATCCCCTTGGGGTTGTTCATCAGTTGGTCTAAAAGTTGATTTACCCAGCACCTTCCTTAAAAAACGGAGCCAAAGAGATTGTAGATACTCCCCAGTGCCAGATAAGATCTTCGTTCCTCCAAAGACCTGCCCCAACTTGCACCAAAAAAAGAGTAATAGAGCGCAAAAATGCACCATAAAATTGCAGCAAGATAGACGCCTTTTATTTTACAGATACAGATTAAGAAATCCATCCATCCAGCTTACAGCTCAGAAACTAGATCAACAGTTATTATTACAAGAGATTCCGTAACATGACCATGCAGAATTATTCACATATTAACAGCACAGCTGCAGGGGCACGTTACTTGATCAACAGGCTGTCAGAGGCTGTATATTTTCATGTATTGCCTTGTAGCACTGGAGGCTGCACAGAGGAAGCTTTGACTTTGAATCACGATACTTGTATGGATTTGTACAAGATGGACCAGCACATTTTTCACGCGGGGGAGGGTAACTAGAAATGCACATGAATAACCAATTTATCAGGCAAAAGAAACCAGGACCATATTAAGTTCGCAAGTAGCAATAATTTAGTACATGATTAAAGAAAGATTGTGCTTGCCTCCCAAAACCACTAAATGCCATCTATTGTCCAGAAATAGATTCCCATATATATATATATATATATATATATATTTTTCTTAGTTACACACACATGCCTTCACTGTCGAACCCCTAACCTCCCTTTGGGAAGTAGGGGCCTGGTATCGCTAGGTCACAAGCCTGTTGGTTATTCCCATTTAAAAAGAGAAGGACGACAAATTTTATAACTATTTGGAAGAACAGAAGAAATAGTTTTTGGTAGGTAAGTTCAACAAGAGACACCCTTCTTACCATATTCTAGAAAGCAGTGAAACTGCTTCTTCGCAAATTACACACTATAACATTACAAAAGTGCAATTTGAACTCTGAATAAATAATGCTCAGTATGTAAAAGCAAACATGAAGTGGATTCATACCTGCAAGGCTTGGGATCAAATATACTTGGCAGGCCCAACTCAATGGGGAATGTCACAACTGTCCCGCTGGGACCCATTACCCACCTGACAGTGTTTGATGTAAATGTCATGGCATTGGCAGCCCTCTCCTGCATCAACTCATACAAAGTATGCAAATAAGTGGGAAACCTCATTACATGATAACTACAGTCTCCTAATGCACAACTTGTTACCTGTGCTAATTCCTCTTGTCGCTTCTTAATTTTATCCTCCCGCTTCTTCCTACTGGAATCTTGGCCCAATATTTTTCTAATTGCTTCGGCCTGTACAATTCAGAAAAGAAAAAAGAAATCTCTTTTGTATCACGATCCATCTAAATGGAAGACAAGAATATCAATAACATGTAAAAAACAAAAACAAAAAACAAACCTCAGATTCCCGAGCTGCCTTCTCCACTTGCATCTTACGCCTTTGAGCAGCCTCGGCTTTCTTCAATTGCTGGTCCACTTCAGAGAGTATCTCCTTTTGTTCTGTCACCAAAACAAAAATAAGTATGTATTATAGTTCAATGAAGAATCACCAGAAGTAATTACTGCAACAAGGACTGTAAAGCAGGGAAGGCTCACTTCGAGGTGGAGCAGGGGGTAATCCATTCGGGAACTCAATCAAACTTGTCCCAGAATTGAAAGAGATATCTTTGCCAGATTGAAGGGCCCGTTGGCGTGTAGTGACAGCCATTTCCTTCTTAGAATCCCCTGACACATCCACAAACTCCTTTCTTTGTTTCTTCCTCTTAATTTCAGGCTCACCATCAGACACTGGCTCTTCATCTTCCAAGTAATCAGTATCTTCATTTGTTCTCCCTGATCTGGACATTTTACCCTCTTTGCCAGATCTTTTTGAGCCATAATCTATTGCATTGACATTGTACCCACCGACATTTCTCTTCATTACCCTTGAGATCTTCCGTTGCTTCCTGCTTCCTGCTTCATCTTCATCTTCGAATTCTGCACCATAATCAGAAGCAACTTTGGAAGTTTTGAGCTTTTCAAGGTATCGGATCTCCTCGTCGTCGTCATCATCTCCATCATCAAATCCTCCATCTAACAACCGTCTTTTAGGAACACGCTTGCTCTTACGAACTGGCTCATACTTCTCAGACTGCTTGAGAGAGACACTTTCCTTAGACATCTTTGCCCTTGAAGAATCCGTTTTCTTAACATTAAAATCACTTCTAGAGAAATCCTTCCATTGGACTCCTTGCGGGCCATTTCCCTTGTCTTGAGAAGGGGAATGATCTTCATCCGAATTATCCTGCTCCAGCATGCAGAGAAAGCCTCAGTTAAGTTCTGAAATTCATCACTACCATTTTTCAGGGAATCTCCAACCAATAATGCAGAGTGATCTTTTACAAAAAATGTGGCAAAAAAGGGTCATATGCCAGGCTGTCAGCAAGTGAGGTTGCACTAACCGTGCGCGCGCGGAGGCACGCCGGGGGGGGGGGGGGGGGGGGGGGGGGGGGGTTCGGGGTACCTATTTTTTTTGAGTAAGTACAACCAATCTAAGGAACTATTAATTTAATATGAAACTCACAAATTTTTATATTTTTATTATTATTTTTTTGGTTGATTGGTGCATGGAAGAATTTTGGACCATCAAGCATGAAAACATGGGTTCGGAACTAAGGTATCCTATCATGTGAATAAAGGTGGAGGTTATGTTCTAGGAAGCACCACATGTACCTGGGAGCCACAGCAGCACCCCAGCACATCTCAGCCACATGTCAAATGTGTCCTTGCTTTTTTATATATTTTTTATTTTCTAAAAAGGATATGTGATGGATACACGGAGGACATGCCATTGTTCTGAACACACAGAGCGAAGCCAAACCATTTTTTGCAACTCAAACCCATCAACTTCCCACAGCCAGTGAATTGGCCTTTGTCATCGCCTCTAGCAGTCATGATCACCCCACTGGGCCCACTCCTACAACAAACCATCACAATAGACCCATACGTGCCTAATTCTAACAATACTCTACATTTCTAGCATAAATGCTCATTGCAAGCATGTGTGTGTGTGTGTTGTATGAGAGAGAGAGTGTGTGTTGAGAGAAGCCATTTTGTGCTTAGGGAAAAAAGAGGCTAGCATTTTGAAAGGCAGCCTAGTGATTAAATCTTTAGAAGAATATATTTGTTTGTGACTTGATACACTTGTACACATATAACACTATTAATATTTTAGTACACATATATTTGTACAACTTTTTCTTTTCAAATTATGAGAAGTAATAAACTTTTGTTCCTTTCTTCTCTCTCTACAAGTCTCGAAACCTTGACCTAGAGCTTGGGAGTTAAGACCCAAAGCCACCAGGACAACATAGACCTGTTATGAGAAGTTATATGCATGCGCCCGTACAATATTTTATAATCATATGTATAAATAAATAAATAAGTATATATATTTCATTGTGTCACTACCATATCCGTGTCATAGTTTTTAGAATTGTTGTAACAACATTTCTGAGTCACATGTCCATATTTGTGCTTCCATATTATCGACACCCTTTCAAGCAACCTTGATTAACAAGACCAACATTGTATACTGGCCTTTCTGACCTATAAGTCTAGAAACACATTCTGCAGAATTAGAAGTTCTAAAAGTATTTTATTATCTATGCATTTTGTAAAAGAAAAAATGGGGTTGAAAATTAAGTTTACTATACTTGTTCCCCTGATTGCGTATAAATACAATAAGTAACTTTAATTGTGTATACTAGTATGCCTCTTTTATCCAATTCTTTCCTATACTAAGAAACAAAACATGCTTTCTTGATACTTAATATTGCGCCATCGGACCAATTTTATCTACTAGCAAGTGCTTTAAGGCTTAGGCATAATGCCTCAGGTGTGGCCATGTGGACACTCAAAAATAGAATTTTAACACCCACACCATCACCTTTTCATAGGAGTTAGATATAGAACCGTGGACATGCACCATCACCTGTTAGCTAATATCATGCTCCAAAACAATATTTTATGCACGTCAAACGTGAACCTCTGACATGTCCAAATTCAGTAAGTGTTTTACACTGACAGGATTCATTAAAAAGATCATCCACATGATTATAAAAAAAGCAACAATATTAAATCATCATAACAAACTACGCAACTAAACACAAAAATCACAGTGAAATAATCTATCTGCTAGGGCACTATCTACCTAATAAATCTTAAATTAAAAATCCGGTCACGCACTGTATTCCACTTGATATGGTTACTTGGATTACGACCAAACAGCTAGGGAAATAAAAAGTGGACACAGTTCTCCTCACTCAAAAAAAGCAATCTTCTTGAATCTTAACTTGATCCAATGTGTAAATAATTTGATTTGTAGAACTGTAATGTCATACTACCACCACAACAAATTATACCAGAAGTCCACAAGCAGCAATTGAGATTACCTGAAGAATTAACTTCTTTCGTGGACGAGGGGCATCTGAAGAGCGAGATGACAAAGTAGAAGAAGACCCACCCACCGAGGCACCATCAGTTGTGGATGTAGGATGTATTGTTCGTATGACACCACCAACCTTAAGCTTTACTTTCTTCAGTTTATTGTCATTCCCCAGTACATCTGTCACTGCTTCTGACTGCTTGAAACATTGGCTACCACTTATTTGGGTATCTCTAGTTCTTGGCTTCGATTGAAGACTTTCCATCACCTTGCTAGAGCTTTTCCAATTAGCTGTGGAAAGGACACCTTCACTATACATTTTGGAATGAATACCACTATGCCTCTGCTCACTACTGTCCATGACACGAGCTTCACAAGACTCCCCAAATCCTCCAATTTCATTTTTTCTCTTCAGGGAAGTTTCAGCTTCATTGAGATTAATAGGAGAAGCCCTTGAACTGCATTGATTTAAATTAAGTTCTTTCATCCTATAATTTGTACCATGGCCCATATTTTCATCACTTGATGCTTTGCTCGCATTCTCTGAAGGTGGCGTAGATGACAATGATGAAGTATCACGGTAATCTGGTAAAAGCTGAGAATCATTCCGAGGACGCCTAGATGAATTGCTCCTCTTCTTCCTCACTGTTCTGCTGAGATCACTGAATCCAAAACCTCCAAAACTTTCCATACTGGTAAAAAGGGTTAAACCAAAAGACCTAGCTGGGCTGTTGATTCCCAGTTTTGTTAAATGAAGTCAAAAGAAGCTATGTCAATAAATAACTACTAAAGAATAAATGTTTTACTAACCAAAATAAACTTATAGCTACATGTAACAGAAAAGAAGCAGTAAAGATAGAAAGCAAAATACTGGGACGGAACTCCTCTCCTTTCCTCTCCCACTTAACATTACTCAATTCTTCCTGACAAACAAATTACGCACAAAGCAAGGTGATACAAAACCACCAAAGTCAGCGAGCACACACACAAAGGAGAAAGGAGAAAGGAGGCAATAAAAATGGAAGGTAAAATTCTTGGAGGAACTCCTCTCCTCTCCCCCACTTAACAGTACTTGATTCTTCTTGATAAACAAATTGTGCGTAAATCAAGGTTATAACAAACCATCAAATCATGCCAGCACTACAGTGCACACACACAGAGGAGTACATTATAATGGAGATGATTGCATGAAGAAAAAAAGTAATTATCTTTGTTCATTCCAAGTATATTGGAAAGCATTAGAATGTTAAACAAATAAGTGAATGACAAGAAATATAATCATGAATCCCAAAAAGATTGCCATATAGATATGCAACCCATATAAGGGACATATTACAAAATCAAACAATATGAACTAACCATAGGTTAACCAATATGAAGATTTTATCAATCAAAAAGGAAAATTGATGAATCCTTACCAAACACACACACACACGCACATTTTGGCTCATACGCCCAAAATATAAAGGAATTGAATAACATACATAAATAAGAAAGACACCAAAAACAACAATAATCCGACCAAACAAAGAACAGAACAAACAGAGCAAAGAAATTCAACAGAAACTGACAACAAGAACATCAAAAAAAAAAAAGGATTTTGAAGTAATCCTAAGCACAAACACCGATGAAGAGAGAGAGAGAAAATCTACAGACCACTCCATAAAAGCTAACGAGATCAGCAAAAATGGCGTCAAAAAGAGGGCATAATCGAAGAACTTACCTTTGTGGGTGGGTGTTCACGACCTTCCAAAACCCTAGATCACCTTCAGAGAATTCGAATAGGCTTGAAGAAAGAGAAATAAAAGGAGACTGTAGATGGTAAAGGGAATAGTATTTGTTTTGAGACAGATTGTGTGGTGTGGTCAATTTGGGAAATTGGGGTGGCTATAACCAGAGTTAGGATTGTAGTTGAAGCGTTAGGGCTAGGGTTAGAGTTAGGGTTAGGATTAGAAAGGCGAAACAACATAGGTGAAATGGTAAATGTCGTCTTCATCATCTTTACAAGTCCACTGGTCTTGTTGGGTCTTTGTACCCTACAGTGTAATGTTGTTGCTGTCTCTCTCTCTCTCTCTCTCTACACTTTCTCTCTCTTCTTTCCAGCCCCTACAGTGTAATGTTATCGACAGAGGATATTTGCAAAATACAAAAGTTTAGGGTTCGTTTTGTAATTTATCCTAATTTCTTCCCTGAAGCGACGTCGTGTGACCTGCAATCTAAAGGAACTAACAAGTAACAAAGAGGCCCTTCAAAAGCCCTAGCAAAACCTCAAGCACTCGACCAGAAAAAAAACAAACAAACAAAAAAATGGCGAACAGGGCAAGCCGCCTGATTATGTTGAGATCAACGGCAACGCTGAGATGGTACTCTACGTCGCCGGCAACTACTGTGTTCAAAAGCAAAGACTCTCTTTACCGCCGACTATTTGTTCTCGGAGGCACAGACCCCGATGTGACCGGCACTCTCGACGAATGGGTAAAGCAAGGAAAGTCCGTCAACAAGTCCCATATCGTCTCCATCATCTCTCAGCTCCGCAAATTCAACAAATACCATCACGCCATTCGGGTCTCTCTCTCTTCACACACACACTCGTATACTCATATATGTATATGTCGATGTATGCTGAGTTTAATTTACTCCAATGTGCTAATTTTTCATTGTTTGATTAATAATCGTGCATTTCTATCAGAATATCATATTAAGTTGCTGATTATGTTTTCTGCATAGTGGTTTTTAATCTGTAGATCGCTAGCACTTATCTTTGTTTAAATTTTGGTCTTTGACTCGACAAGTTTTAGGAAATTTTTGACATTTACTTCAGTTTTTGAAAAGGGGCAATCCGTAATCGGTGAGGTTGCTCCATTGTGACCTTCAGGTCACGGGTTCAAAAATGGAAACAGTCTCTAGCCCTGTTTCACTTGAGTTTGTGAACAAGGGCTATATAAAGTTTAGCTACATCAAGTTTTTGTTGAATGTTTACATGTTAATTGTGTCTAGTATTGAAGTCTCCATTTTTCTAAGTGTTTGGTTTAATTTTGAATGCAATGTACGCGATTATGCAGTTGGTACTCTGTTTCATAGGCGGCCAGTTGCATATGTATAGAGTGATAGATATATCTTGTCTTTTAATTTAAGCTGAAGTTTTGAATGTGTGAAGCTCTAGAATATCATTCAATCCACATTGTGATCGAAATCTCTGAAATTTTGAGAAAACCATACCTTGCAGGCTAGCATAGTAAGATTCCTTTGTCATTTGGAAATAATTTCGTATAATCATGTAATAATCTAAAGTTTATGTATGACTAAGATTGAATTCACTGCATCTTACTTGCCGAAAAAAAATAAATTCACTGCATCTTGTAATATATACATATATATATATATATACATATATATAAGCAAATGATTTATGTCAAGCAATAATTAATGTAACCCATCTCAAATTGTTCGTATAATATGCAATTCTAGCCTTCTAGGTATATGGTGCTTCACTAAGTACCACAGTGAGAAAAATAAAGGTCTAGTAGATCTATGTATACGAGTGATTTGAACAATCTGGATCAATAAAAGTTTACTAGAAACGAATAAATCCTGTTGTATATTGATAGGCACCCTCTCCGATTTTTATTTTTTATTTTTCATAATTATTTGCAGATATACGATTGGATGGAAAAAAACATGAATAAAATGGGCACTGCTGACCGTGCCAGACGTATAGATCTTCTTTCCAAGACAGAAGGTGTGGCCACAGTGGAAAAGTACTTTAACAGCCTCGAAGGATCAGCAATGACAAATCAAACCTATGGAGCTCTTCTCAACTGTTACTGCAAGGAGAAAATGTTTGACAAGGCCGTGGAGCTTTTTAAGACGATGAAGGAACTCAATTTTATGTCAGCTTTAAATTATAATAATATGATGTCACTTTATTCAAGTGTTTGACAGCCTGAACAAGTCCCGTTGCTGGTAAAGGAAATGGAAGAAAAGAACATTGCTGCAAATTTGCATACGTATAATCAATTGATGAACAGCTATGGTTCTTTGAAGGATCTCGATGCTGTGGAGGGAGTCATGGAGAAGATGGAGACAAATAAGATAAAATGTGATTGGTTTACATATGGAAATCTAGCAACCATTTATATCAATCAAGGACTTATCGATAAGGCCATTGCTGTTCTCCAAAAACTAGAGAACATGGAAAATCTGCGTCAGCGTGAGGCATTCTACACTCTCATCAAATTGTACGGACAAACCTCTTGTTTATCAGGGGCTAATCGAGTATGGGAGTCTTTAAAGTTGATATTTCCGACACCCCCTAATACTATCTATCTTGCCATGCTTACGACTCTTTCAAAGTTGGGAGATGTGGATGGCCTTGAGAAGTGTTTCAGAGAGTGGGAGGCAGGTTGCTCATTATATGATGTTAGGGTATCGTATGTCATTCTAGAATCTTATCTTAATCGGGACATGATCAAAGAAGCGGATTTGGTTTATAATAGTATTTCGGAAAGGGGTGCTGAACCCAATTTGAGGACACTGAATGCGTTCACCAATTTCTACTTGAAGAATCACCAGATGGATTTGGCTCTGAAATATTTGGAGATGGGTGTTTCCAGAATGAACCAAGAAAAAGTTGGGTGGTTTCCACCTTATGAAGCTGTTAATACATTTCTGACAAACTTTGAGGAGAAAAGGGATGTGGACAGTGCTGAGAAGTTCTGCAGGAGCATGAAGAAAATTGGTCGTCTCAACTCCAAAATAATTGCTTCCCTTCTTCTAACACATACTGCTGCTGGAACAGACAAACCTCAGATTCATCAGCGACTAGAAGAATGTGGTATTGAGATGAGCCCCGAAATTGAGAAGCTGCTTCGTGAACTCCATTCCGACTAGGCGGCTTCAAGTTGAGATCAATCCCGGATACTAGAACACTGGTTTGATTCTGAAATTGCTATTTTGTGAGGGATAAGTTAGAAAATAGCAATGCTCAACTATCATTCAATCCTGATTTCCATGGGAATCTCTATGTTCTTCCCGGGGAATCTTTAGAATTACCATTGCTTAGCTTTCAATTTGCTTCTGACCATCAAATGAAATGTGAAACAAGGGGCACTTCCGGTTCTGTCTGCACTTGATACAATTTGGGAGCAAAACTTTGAAGATCAACCCCATTCTGGGGGCATCCACGTGGGATTGCATATTGTCTTTACTCTTTTGATCTCGCTTGAGAGCTCTGTAAAATTTGCAAAACATTTGAGTGTTCGAAGTTGTAAACGGGTAAATTGATTATTATAGTATTTGAAAATTTTATTTTTCCCAAGTTATGAAAAAAAAAAATTAAAAAAAATGGTTCGGTTGGATTTGGTTCCACGGTTCTAGCCATTAAGAACCATTTACTTGGATGATTGTTCAATCATTCAATAAGAAAAGTGGGAAAAGTTTGAATTACTAGAAGAGGAGATTAGATGTCCAAGGATACCCAAACAGTCAAAGAAAGCAGACTAATTTATCGGTACGCCTGTTAGATAAGTTCTTATTCACAGTAATCAAATCGAGAATATAGACTGTGTAGTTTAGAATCAGACCGAATGGTAAAAAAATCAAATCAAACTGAGTGGTCAGATTCGGACCGAACTGATTTGATTTTTAGTGTATGAATTAAGCTAGGTTTGGAATCCGTGTTGGAGCCTTCAACCTTGCACCCTCCCCCTCTAATAATTAACCTTCTAACATTCTTGTCTTAAAAAAAAAAACAAAAAGAAAAGTGATAAAAAATAAAGATATGAAGTTATGAACTAAATTACATAATCATTCTTAATTGGTATAGCTTTTACTCCCGCTTTTATAGTTCTCGCACTTTCTAATCCCCAGTCTTATTATTTGTTACTTAATTTTGTTACTTTAGCATTCCATTCTTAAATTCACTCATAATAGTAATACATCCAAATCTATTTTGAGTATATAATTTATAAAAATGGCTTGGATAATAAAGTCCTTCACGAGTTAAAAGTGAAATAGGAATTAGGCATTATTAAGACGACATCTTATATAAGAAGAATAAAATGAAAAAAGAGAATTATTTTTTCATTATCATTGGTTCCCTTTATCTTAAATCTCATTATCTCATGGAGTCTAGCGTCTCCTGGAAACGATGTCGTATGAGTTACAATCTCACTATCTCCAGTGAGCTAAACAAAGAGGCCCTCTTTCTGAAAGCCCTAGCAAAACCTCAATCACTTAACCAGAAAACAGAAAATGGACGGCAACGCCGAGATGGTACTCTACGTCGACGGCAGCGATTGCGACCAAAAACAAAGACGATTCTCTTTTCTGCCGACTATCTACTCTCTGCGGCAAAGAGCCCGACGTGGCCGGCACTCTCGACGAATGGGTAAAGCAAGGAAAGCCCCTCAATATGAACCATATCATATCCATCGTCACTGAGTTCCGAAAAATCAGGAAATACCGGCACGCCATCCAGGTCTCTCTCTCTCTAAATAGACTATATGTATATGTATATATATGTTGAATTTAATTAACTCCAATATGCTAATTTTTAATTGGTTGATTAATAATCATACAATTCTATCAGAGTATCATATTAAGATGCTGACTATGTTTTCTGAGTTATGGGTTTTAATCTGTAGAACAGTGGCACTTATTTTTGTTTAAAAATGTGGTCTTCAACTGAACAATTTTTTTGGGAATTTTTAACATATACTTGAGTTTGTGAAAAGGGGTAGCGATAATGTGGTCTTTAATTGGAACAGACTCTCTGAATGTGGAGGTTAGACCTTTTTTTATTTGAGTTTGTGAACAAGGCTTTATTAAGTTTAGCTACATCAAGTTTATTCAAGATTGTTTACATGTTAATTGTGTGGAGTCATGAAGTCTCCATTTTACTAAGTGTATGGTTTAATTTTGTATTCAATGTATGCGTAATTGCCTATACTCTGTTTCATAAGCGGCAAATTGTATATGTGTTGACACACAAAAATGGCAGCCTAAGTGGCTTTCACTTTGGCATCCATGTGGACAAATGAAAGAGAGACAAGCCGACCAAATTATGGTCCACTAGTGTGGTGACACATGGCATTTGCTGAAGGATTACACATGGCAGAATTGAAATAGGGACAGCTGGCCATTTTAATTCAGCCGAATAATGCCATTTTAATTCAGCCATGTAACAGGCCTTGTGTGAGCCCGAAGCAAGCCCAGAATATGAATAATGGATAACGTAGGCGTTATAATTAAGGAGGTGGGTTTGATATATAGATACATACAAAACCTCCCAATTATGTGGCCATCAAATTGCTATAAAGAAGGAGGAGGTTATTTGATTTGCTAAAAACTTGGAAGGAAGGGACGTTAATTTGGGGCACTTGTCATGTGTTGGTTTTAAAAGGAAAGTTCATATATGAATGAGGAAAGGAACATGGCTACATTCATTATGACCAGAACATATATATATATCGATGAATATATGGCATCTTCATAGCCAAACTGGAAAATAGAAGGTGGGTTGAGAACGTGGGACACATGGTATCGCTAGAAGAAGACTGCAGTTCGTGGGTCTGGAAGTTGAGCTTGCTAAACGTGGGACATGTGTTTTGTAAAGAGATGATGAAAGGGAAGGGATAGTTTGTGATAGGACATGTGTCCTTCTTGTAAGGCTTGTAATGCCTATAAATAATGTACCTAGGACTACATTTGAATCCCTCTCAACGACATTAAACAAACTTCAATACATTGTATTTCAATTTTTTCAATTTCAATACAAGGTACTTTATTTTCATGCACTTAACTTCTTCTTTTTTCCTAGTTGGTACTCACACACATATGCCTCTATTGATACTTGAACCCTTGACCTCTCTTTGGGAATACTTGAACCCTTGACCTCTCTTTGGGAAGTAAGGGCCTGATACCGCTAGGCCACTGGCCCATTTTGTATTGCACTTCATTTCTCTAGTTTACCATTGTAGTTTTACCAAATTCCTTTCATCGAAGGCAAATCAGAACCCTTCACAATCGCCTGATCGTTCCAAAAGGATTTCTTTTTGTTCGACCTTTTTTGAATCTTCTGAGATTCTAGCACGCCTGTGCACTTCCAGTGCCCTAATTTTGTGCAAACATTAATTGGCATGTTCGGCCGGACCCTCAGTAATATTGCAATACCGCCAAAATTAAGGACAACTCGTCTACCTGTAACTGGTGATAAAGAGCCAGAGGAGGAAGTTCAGCCAGTGCAGCTTGGAAGTTCTAATCCTGGCCCCGAAGAATCAGGAGTACATGCCGAGATGCAATCGTTGGTTACATCATTGGCCGAGGCATTGGGCAGATTGACTGCCCGCCTTGATGACATAGATCATAAAATCTCTCAGAATTACTCTTTGCTATCAGCCGTTGTTTATAACCGACCGGCTCAAGATGGAAGTTCAAATGCTCAAGAATCGGTGCCCCAGCCAATTCTTCATCCTCCACCAGTGGTGTCTGATCAGCCAGTTCCTGCAGCGAGTCTTCCACAAAACTTGCCAATGTTTTGGCCAGAACTTCCACTGTTTCCACAGCCACCCGTGGCTAGTCAGCCGATCGAGCAACTTCCGCAGGCAGTAACTTTCCAGCCACTTCCAGTAGCAAGTTTTTCACAAAATTTGTCAACAACTTGGCTTGAAGTTCCGTTGCAACCTACCATTTTGCTGTTCCAGCAGCCGTTGGTTAAACCGCCACCTCCACAGCTGCTGTATCAACCATGTGCGCCGCCACCACAGCCATAGGTATTTCCTCAAGATGTCTCCGGGAAGGAACCTCTTGACCCGGGGGGCAATCAAGTTAGGTGGAGAAACAATCCACTCTTTGCCCAAGCGCCACAACTTACGGCACTCGCGTCGGGGGGTGGGGGTTGGGGGGAGGCTGTCAATGGCCAATCTTCTGCAAGCTTGGCCAGAAAACCTTCAACCACCTGCGGCAAATCAGCCGTCAGTGATAAATCAGATACCACAACATAGTCTGTTCTTACCAAATTTTTTGCAAAATCAATCAAAGATTTGGGAAGAAAATCACCAGCAGAATATTTTTCGGCCAGAAACGTCACAACCTTCATAGCCGTTGCAAATTCTTCCGCAGGTAATTGATTCAGACTCCATCACAACCAATTCTTCCACAACCAATCGTTCAAGCTGTACCACAAGTTCCTTTTCCAGAGAAACCTCCTGACCCGGGGGGCAATCAAGTTAGATGGAAAGATCCAAATCCTTTATATGACCCTACACCACATCATGTGTTGTTACAGGGGCAAGGAATGACCAATCCACCAAATTGATCTGAATTTAGTCCTCAGCCACAAGTTCATCAGTCGGACCATCAAGTTGTACTTGATTGGAAAATATCGACTATTATCTTCCGACAAGAATTTAAGAAGAAGCTGAAAGTTATGGTTGATAATAGTAACTCATTTTCAACCATGCTGAGTAAACATGGTGTTGGATATTCTTCCAATCATTCTAAAGAGCAAATGGATTCAGAAGAAAACAAATATGCGAATGAAAGAAAGCAGGAGAGTTTGGAAGAAACACCATCTGCCAATCAAGGCAGGAAGATAATGGAAGAACTTCATAAGCAGCTTAGAGAAGTTCAACTTGCTTTTAATTAACATGGTTTCTGCCCTGAATATAAGGGTACTAACCAATGTAAATTTGAAATTCTGCATAGAGACAAAGTCCAAACTCAGTCTTCTAAAAGAAGTGGTCATGGGAGGTTTACTTCTGAACAAAAACAGAGAATTTCAAGATCAAATCGGCCTAAGTACCAGAATAGTCGGCCGAGAGTGGTATCTAATTCTCAGCCAAGACAATCATTGGCTGAAAGGATTCTTCTAACACGTCATCCTCAACCTAGATGCAAAAAAAAGGACACAAAAGAGGAAACGACTATGGAAAATGGCTAAGGTGAAAATAAAAGTAAAGAAGCTTGACAAGTAAAAAAGAATTAATTCTAGGTTACTTGATGACCACAAACAAGAAGAAAATGGCTCAACCAGAGATATGATGGATCTTTCAGTTTCTTCCAAAGAAGATTTTTCTCTTCAGGAGGAAAATACTAACCAGCCGAAGACTAGTTCTTTGGAGATTCATAATACTTCCAAACAAAAAGGGATTAGTTTTGGAAGTATCCCTTATGAGTTTGCAAAGCAAGATCCAGTTCATGAAGTCATGGGAATCGACAATGGTCCTTTTCCGATCATTGTCGGCAGAAACGTGATCAACCTTACCCCTAGAAGGAAGGTTGATATTGGGGAAGAAAATAAGCAGTTTAAAGCTTTGGAAATTACACCATCGACCAATCCTAATAGTCAGATGGTAAAAGAGTTGGAAAGAAAATTACGAGAGGCTCAAATAGCTCTCATCAATCACGGTTATTATCCTAATTGCAGGAGCCGTGATAGCGGAAGAAGCGACCACTTCCATGGGAGAAGTTCTCACTATTCCAAAAGAAGTGTTCATGATAGAGTGACCTTTCAACAAGGTCCAATAAACAATCGGCCAACATTAAATCGGCCGAAAGGAGTGACAGTTATACACTCCGAAAGACTAGTAGCAGAAAAGATTCTTCCAAAGCAATACACACAACAAAACTTCAAAAGAAGGCCTGAAATAGAATCTAAGGTCTGGATCCCGAAGGGAAATGTTTTACACAAATTCAAAATGGTAAGACCACTAGTTACTCCACTTGAGAAATGGAGGAGACTCGAATATTCAAACTTCCCGAAAGAAAGACACTCGGCCAGGCAAACCCTCACTCGGACCCATAAAAGAAGACTACAATAGTAGAACGTAGAAGGGCCGAGGCAACGAAGAAAGAATCCTTTCAGAGTGGTTTTTCTCAAACAGCCGAGAGTAAATACAGAAAGATGGAAGATAAATCAGAGTACATGGATGTAGCCATTTCTTTTGGTAATGATGAGGCCGTACTTGGGGGGCAAGAGAGAGACACAAATGTGGATTCGAAGCATGCTCCTAAGTATAAATTTTGTTTTGGAAGTTTTCCAGATGAATTTGTTTGCAATATGGCCTTTGTGTTACCAGCTATCTTTGAGGCTACTCCTCGTTAGCCAATGGCTTTAGAAGAAAGCTTCAAGACAGAAAAGCCGCCTAAAGCCACTAATGAAGGCATAATAGTGGTTGAAGTGGCGGCCTAGAAAGTAGTCCCAGTTAAGAAGCGATGGACTACTACAGAAGGGACTTGTGTTGCTGATAAATCGGTATTTGAAAAGTTTGGGTGGAAGGCCAACTAGTTAATAGGGTGCTGGAAGATAACAAATTGGCCATCAATGTTATTCTTGTCATAACCTTGAGGTTACTATACCGAACTTGGATCCATCCAAATTTTTATATTTTTTCTGTTCTTCATCAATTATCAATGTTTTTTATGGAGATGAAGTTAAGTTCGTGGAAGAAAGTACATCGGCCATCCGGTGTAAAGTCTTACATGGCCGATGCAATTCTCTATGATGAGAATCATGGTTCATAGGCATAGAAGAAATAGGGCGACCAACATCGACCGCTATGAAAATAAGTCTCACGGCTGATCATAGTGCTTCCACGGCCGGATGCTGAAATTGATGATGGAAAACGAACCCAATAAAGAATCAAAGATGGAGCAGGCCTTCCCTGAAAGCTCACCTGACTGGGAGCAAATCGGCCATCAAAGAAATTTTATGGCATGTGTTTTCGGCCGACATTGCTGAAGAAGATGAAAATCCAAAGATTTCGTATGAATTGCTATCAAAAGCTTTATAGGCATATAGAAATCCGAGAAGATCAGGCATCGGAACAACTCCGTACTGGCACAATGTCATTCTTCCAGTACAGCTAGCAATACGATCGGCCAGAATGACACTACATAACAACCTCATCCCGGCCGATCATGATCATGCCTTGCTAGCTGTGTTTGAAAACTTTGACAGTGAAGTCCATCTTGGGTCTATAGATGGTAGAAACCTTGAAGGGTTTCAACCAACTTTTTGAGAAGTAATGGAAGAAATATGATTGGTCACGGCAACAAGCTGGACATGAAATAAATACCATCTTCATGGTGATTCGAAATAAAGGAAGTGGATATTGTTTTGGAGTTCGTTTGCCGTTTTATTCCAATTCTTAGTTCAGCCATTGTTATGAAAATTCCCTTCCTTATATTTTAAAGTTCAAAAATCTTATCGGCTTAGGCAGCCATAAGACATTTGAAATTTGGGGGGCATAATGTTGACACACAAAAATGGCAGCCTAAGTGGCTGTCACTTTGGTATCCACGTGGACAAATGAAAGAGAGACAAGTGGACCAAATTATAGTGCAATAGTGTGGTGACACATGGGTGACACATGGCATTTGCTGGAGGATTACACCTGGCAGAATTGAAATAGGGACATCTGGCCACTTTAATTCAGCCGAATAATGAGTACAGCTGGCCATTTTAATTCAGCCATGTAACAGGCCTTGTGTGAGCCCGAAGCAAGCCCATAATATGAATAATGGATAACGTAGGTGCGATAATTAAGGAAGTGGGTTTGATATTTAGATACATACAAAACCTCCCAATTACGTGGCCATCAAATTGCTATAAAGGAGGAGGAGGTTATTTGATTTGCTAAAAACTTGGAAGGAGGGAAGTTAATTTGGGACACTTGTCATGTGTTGGTTTTAAAAAGGAAAGTTCATAAATGAATGAGGACAGGAACATGGCTACATTCATTATAACTACTACATATATATATATATATATATATATATCGATGAATATATGGCATCTTCATATTCAAACTAGAAAATAGAAGGTAGGTTGAGAACGGGACACATGGTATCGCTGTAAGGAGACTGCAGTTCATGGGTCTGGAAGTTGAGCTTCTGCAGCTGGATGTGGGACAAGTGTTTTGTAAAGAGATGATGAAAGGGAAGGGGCAGTTTGTGATAGGACATGTGTCCTTCTTGTAAGGCTTGTAATGCCTATAAATAGTGTACCTAGGACTACATTTGAATCTCTCTCAACAACATCAAACAAACTTCAATACATTGTATTTCAATTATTGCAATTTCAATACAAGTACTTTATTTTCATGCAGTTACTTTTTAGTATTGCACTTCAATTCTCTAGTTTAGCATTGTAGTTTTACCAAAGACCTTTCATCGAAGGCAAATCAGAACCCTTCACAATCGCCTCGCCTGATCGTTCCAAAAGGATTTCCTTTTGTTCGACCTTTTCTGAATCTTCCGAGATTCTGGCACGCCTACGCACTTCCAGTGTCCCAATTTTGTGTAAACAATATGTATAGTTATATATCTTGCCTTTCTGTTATGATGTTTTCGGGATGCGTTCCCCTTTTCAAAACTTTTTATGAATGTTTATTAATTATCAATAAATAAATAAAGCTGCAGTTTTGAAGCTGTAGAATATATTTCAATCCACATTTTGATCATTTTTTTAAGCTTCCCTTGTCGTTTGGAATTTTTTTTGTGTAATTATGTGATGATCTAAATTTTATGCATGACTAAGATTGAAGCCACTGCATCAATAAGTAATTGCAAATGAGTGTAGAATAAAATAACAGTAAATGATCTATAACAAGCAATACTTTAATGATTAAACCATTTCAAATTGTTTGTGTAGTAATATGCAGTTATAGGTACGTGGTGCCTCACTAAGTACCATGGTGAGAAAAGTAAAGGTCTAGTGGATGTACGAGTGATTTGAACTATCTGGATCAATGGAAGTTTATTAGAAATGCTAGCAGTACACTAATATGGTAACGTCACATTTTGAATAAATCTTGTTGTATATTGATAGTCACCCTATCCGATTTATTTTATTTTTTATTTTTCATAATTACTTGCAGATATACGATTGGGTGGAAAAAAGCAAAATGAACGATGCCGACCATGCCATACGCATAGATCTTCTTTACAAGATGGAAGGTGTGGCCTCGGCGGAAAAGTACTTTAACAGCCTCAAAGGATCAGCAATGATGCATAAAACTTATGGAACTCTTCTCCACTGTTACTGCAGGGAGAAAATGTTAGAAAAGGCTATGGAGCTTTTTAAGAAGATAAAGGAGCTCAATTTTAATACAGCTTCAAGTTATAATAATGTGATGTTACTTTATTCTAGTGTTGGACAGCCTGAAAAAGTCCCTTTGTTGTTTAATGAAATGGAGGAAAAGAACATATCTGCAGATCTGTATACGTATGATAGATTGATGAACAGCGATGGTTCTTTGAAGGATCTCGATGCTGTGGAGCGCCATGGAGAAAATGGAAGCAAATAAGATAAAATGTGATTGGTTCACATATGTCAATCTAGCTTCCAATTTTGTCAATGGAGGACTTATTGATAAGGCCACTGCTACTCTCCAAAAACTAGAGAAGAACATGGAAAATAACGCTTGACTGTGAGGCATTCCATTCTCTGATCACATTGTACTGACGAACCTCTTGTTTATCAGGGGTTAATAGAGCATGGGAATCTTTGAAGTTGATATATCCAAAACACCCAATAATACAAGCTATGGTATCATGCTTTCGGTTCTTTCAAAGTTGGGAGATGTTGATGGCCTTGAGAAGTGTTTCAGAGAGTGGGAAGCAGGTTGCCCAACCTATGCTGGCAGGGCGTCGAAAATCAGGTTGTTAAAAGCTTATCTTAGTCGCGACATGATCAAAGAAGTGGATGCGGCTTATAATAGTACTTTGGATAGGGTGGGTGAACCCAAGTTGGGGACATTGAATTCGCTCATCATCAACTTCTGCTTGAAAAATCACCAGATGGATTTGGCTCTGAAATATTTGGAGATGGGGTGTCTCCAAAATGAACCAGGAAAAGCTAAGTGGTTTCTATCTGATGAAGCTGTTAATACATTTCTGACAAACTTCGAGGAGAAAAAAGATGTGGACGGTGCTGAGAAGTTCCGCAAGAACATGAAGAAAATTGGTCTCAACTCCAAAATAATTGATTCCCTTCTTCTAACACATACTGCTGCTGGAACAGATGTACCTCAGATTCGTCAGCGACTAGAAGAATATTGTATGGAGATGAGCCCCAAAATGGAGAAGTTGCTTCATGAACTCCATTGCGACTAGGCTGCTTCAAGTTGAGATCAATCCGGGATAATAGAACACTGTTTTGATTCTAAAATTGCTATTTTATGACGTATAAGTTAGGAAATAGCAATGTTCAACTATCATTCAATCTTGATTTCCAGTCTCAAACAAGCAAGAAGAGATTTTCCTTTCCTCTCCTATTTTCGGAGCATAACTTTTAAGATCAACCACATCAGTACATTCTGGGAGCTCTTTTGATCTATGCTTGCTTGAGCTCTGCAAGGTGAAGTTTATTAGAAATTTGTGTATATCTAGACAGGTAATTTTAAGTGATTTTTTATGACATGCTTCACGAGAAGAGAGTTTTAGTGCTCCCATAAGTTCAAAAATTTGTCTTTTAGGCTCCTTTTTTTTCGACATAAAATATATATATTTTTTATTTTTTATTTTTTGTTGTTTGGTAAAAGTTTAGACTTGAGATTGAGATCGATTCCATCAGATGTGGCGTGTAAAATAATTTGTTGAAAAATTTATAGGGAAGTTATTTTTGTTAAAATTTTAATATATATATTTTTTCTTCGTCAATATTACAACAACCAAACAACAAAAAATAGAAAGAAATGTTTTTTTATTAAAAAACGGAGTCTGAATTTGTTTGCAGGTGTAGACTTGTAGTGACATGCTGCATAATTGTTAAGATCATATGCTCATACATTTGCTTATGCTGAAACGCATGACAATGTCTCCAATGTGCCCATTCATGGAGATATTGTGAACAATAATGGTCAGACTCAATTAGTCAATTGAATAAAAGCTTGTCCAACTATTTGGATTGTGGCTTTTTATAACAAAAAAAAAAAATCTATTTCGATTGGTTTGCCATTCTGATTTGTCTAGGGGTAATGATCTCAATCAAATGATGGTGGACTCGACCCTTGGTGACCAATTCTTGCTACTGTGGGTTAAAAAAAAAAAAAAAAAAAAAAAAAAAAAAAAAAAAAAAAAAAGAAAGAAAAACTATTTGGATTGGTTTGCCATTCTGATTTATCTAGGGGTAATGATCTCAATCAAATGATGGTGGACTCGACCCTTGGTGACCAATTCTTGCTACTGTGGGTAAAAAAAAAAAAGAAAAAAAAGAAAAACTATTTGGATTGGTTTGCCATTCTGATTTATCTAGGGGTAATGATCTCAATCAAATGATGGTGGGCTCGACCCTTGGTGACCGATTCTTGCTACTGTGGGCCACTCTTACACAGCTCATCAGTGGCCATCATTTGTTAACTCCTCCATCAACATCATGGTCAAGTACAAATGGTGCATGGTGGCATTTTGTCACCTTGAACAGAACTATGGTAGGTACACTCATAATTGTGATTAGATTGGAACTATTTCTATTAGGAAAATAATACTGCATTCTTAGTTTTAAATCATGATTCCCTCTATCGGCCTATACTAGTCGTATTTTTTTATTCGTAATTTTATTTTAAAAGTCCGATATCATTATATATTTTCATAAATTAATCAATTTAATTAATATATATGAATATTTATTTGTATCCATTGCACTATCACTGTAACTGTTATTACGATTTCAAATCATAATTTAAATATTCAAATTTTTTTTTTTCTTCTGAGAACCTCTTTCTGATTAAAGCAATGCACCAAAAAAGTTGGTCAAATCTGTGTGTCTTTTGATGCATTAAGTGAGCCAAATCTCTTTTAGTCCCAAATTAATGAATCTGAATTGGTGGGCGGTCAGATTAGGCTCTCCTTTTCGGTGCATTGAGTCAGTGTAAATGTGATAATTATTGTGATTAGTATAATCCACTCACACAAACTATCATTAATATTTGAAATGAAATAAATCAAAAGTAAATACAGTCAATAAAAAAGCAAAAAGATAAAAGCTGGTAAGAAAGAAAATTCTGAGTATGAATTTTAACATCCGGTCCTCTATTGCAGCAAGTTCTGTGTTGGAGTGTGTTGTATGCTTTTAATGTAAGTCAAATAAATTCTTGCGTCTCTTGCGCACCGCACATACTTTTTTTTCAATTTCATTTGTTACGATTTAAATTTTGCTACTTTTACATTTGCTCCTATTCCCGCACTCTTTATGTGTTATGTAGCAATTACGAAAATAAATTGTATTTTAAAGTATTATTTTTTAAAATAATGTGTTAGAGCATCTGGAACAATTATATATATGTATATATATATATTGTGTAAATCAATGTGTTAGAACATCTCAAGCTATTGTGTATATATATATACATATATATATTTTGTGTAAATCTAATGCGTCTAGATAGATTTACATAAAAATTTTGTATTACTCATTTTTAACTCCAACCATTATTTTATATTTTTTGTTGTAAAAATATATTATGTAAGGATCTATATAATTTTTACAAATCTATTCAATATAAGGGTTGATTCGTTAATAGAATAAGAAAGAAAAATGAGAAAAAAATATGTTGATGATTTTAGATATTAGTGATAATTTTTTTTACACATAGATAATGTATATCAAAGATTCTTTTAGAAACTAAAAATAATAAAATAGTTTTGTTTGGTTGGTGTATTTACAACATGGTGTTGTGGCACCCAGCTACTCGTGAAACTTGTAACTTAAAAATAAAAAATAAAAAAACTCAGGAACTTATGGGACAAAAATAATACTGTAATAATAATTTTTATGAAATATGTTGCTGTCTGACACGTGGCAAAGAGTCTCTTAAACAACCAAATAGCAACTGGGAGAGGAATAGGATTCTGAGAGCAGTGTGGGACCAGGTGAGAGGAGAGGACACGTGGATGTCGCGATCAACGTCAGAATAGACATCTTGTCTGATAAGACATACCTGAACCTCACTCACACTTCCTACTTTAATAATAATAATAAGAAAAGAAAAATCAGAATAGACGTGTGATTGATTTAACGTCCCTTCTTGTTTATCATCATCATCATCAGTTGCACCAGAAAAAGACGATTGATCAGACGGGTGACAGCGACCCTTCCTTCTCCGATGCTATCAGGCAGCCGGATATCAAGACAACACACACGCCCGTGATCCACGGGAGCTTGATCCCTCCCGTGTTTCCCACCACAACACCCTCACCACTCAATTTCCACTCGCCTTTAATGTCTAAATATATCCATTTTAAAATGATAATACAAACAATTAAGTACCAAAGCCTATATAACTCGGAATAATTTTTTATTTAATTTTCTCGAGGTTTGTTGTAATATCCCTCGATTCTAGGGTCACGAGTGATCAAGTCCGAGCACAAATTCAAAGGATATCAAATAATTAATATTTAATCGAATACAGAATACAAAATAAATTTAAGAAATAATAATAAGTTGAAGAAATACTAAAATTAAAAATTCTCAAATATAAATATTTAAATTCTGACAATCCAAACTTCATAAGTTTACAACTCGGGAATCTATCTCTAGTGGACCTCTAATAAAAATCCAAACCGAACAAAAATAAATAACTGAAGATACAAGCCCAAATCGAATATCTGGAAAGAAGTCCTACATCGTCGGTAGAATGAAAGATCGTCTCTACTCAGCTTGAACAAGCTCTAAGACCTCAAACATCCAATACCTGAAAAATAATAAGTGGGTCAGGCCCACAAGCAAGTTCTATACTACTACTACCCAAGCAGAGACCCGATACGCATGTACATCCTAACCAATCCAACAATAACTAAATAGTCCGGAGATACATATATATATAATCACACTACAGGACTCTCACTGGATTACAGGCCCGTCTCAACCTGACTAGTAGGCACCATACAAAACGCACCTGAGGTGAGCATGACTACCTAGACCTAGCAGGGTACACATCCAACCATCATAACTAGCTATGCATCCCAATGCATATATGCTCCCTAGCCAACGACTCTGAGACTCAGGCTCATATCGTGGCACCATAAAAATATATTTAAAATCCGTTCCAAACTAAAAGTGTCACTCAACTATTTAGTGATCTGACACAAAATACAGGTAGGACTTAACTTTTGTAGTTAATCCATCCCTTAATCCAGAGGAGGTAGGACTTAGCGTTTTTGAGCTAATCCCCCTAGTATGTCACCGTCCCATACCGGTGCATACAAACCATCCATCCAATGTTGATAATACAAATAATGAGATAAAATCAATATCAACCAATCCATAACAAGTATAACACCATCTATCCAACTGTTAATAATACAGATGATATTATAAATATCAATATCCACACATCTATAACAAGTACAACAAGAATATATAAATTGCAAGCTTGTCATATATGAATAACACATGATTCTCTAACAGTTTAAGAACGCAGATAATAAGTGTAATCCATTCTTTAATCCCCTATCAGCATACTAATATCAATATCAAAATTAACATGCTCGTTTAAACTACTCCATATCATCCGATTAGTTGATTATACATAATGACTTGTAAACATCAACTAATTTCCTGTTAAGCATAACCGACATTATATTAATTGTGATGCTTAATTCTATAACACTGTCATATGATTTAAACTTAAAATTCCTAGTTCAAATGCTAATTTTAAAACAAGCAAATTGAATTATCTGCATCACAGTAATATTGATTTATTTCCTAAGAGTTTCTGGTTGTTCCTTCTTTTAGCTTTTTATGGAAGATTATGCATTACCAGGCCTTCTGAAAATTTAACACAAGTTTAGACCCTTCTGAATACCTTTTGTAACACTCCATTTTCATCCTAGAATGTCCAGAATTCAATCCCCGTAGCCCAGGTCTCGCAGAAACTTAAAACTGGAAGCAAAAATCAAAGGAGTCGGCTCTGTAAAAGGTGGAGCCGCCTCCACAACAAGGTAGAGCCGGCTCCCCCATGATGGAGCCGCCTCTAGACTCCCATAGAGTCGGCTCTACCCTTTTATTGAGCTTGCTCTACTCTAATTAGAGCAGGCTCTTCCCCTGTGCGTCTTCGTTTCCAATTCTGGCGATGTCCGGCAACTGTATTCCTCAACCCAAGTTTATTATTGATTAAAACTCAGTCCTAGAGTGTTCCAAAGTTAATTAAATTCATTGTTCATTAATCAAAACTAATTGGAACAAGAATTTTTCCAAACAGATTTAAAACAAGCCAAAAACCCAATCGGTAACACACACGATGTTGACCAATTTCTATGCAACCAAAAATTAATTTAACGGTTTACTTTCACCTGGGATTGTATTAACGATGCACAGAAACATCTTCCAGAACTATTTAAACTCATTAGACATTAATCAATTATCATTGGAATAAGAGTTATGCAAAACCGTTTAAAAACGAACAAGTTACAGATACACAAAATACATACTGTTTTAAAAACCAAATAACCGTGCAAATGAAGTTAAAACAAATTAAATTAAATTTATTTCATCCTGGAATTTAATTAGGGATGCAAAGAACACAGGCCAAAGAGGTAGAATTAGTATTAGAACTTGCCTGTGAGATTCAGTTCCAAAAATCTCAACGTCTTCCTTCTAAACTTTTCCGGTAACCCCTTTTTGTTTTCCCCTCTCTGTTCTCTCCCAGATTCCTCTACACGTCTCTCTATTTTCTGTATGCCGTGAATTGGGTTCTCAAACCCTAAACTGAAACCCTACATGTATTTATAGGCCACCTTAAATCTAAGTCCACCTAAACCCTAAACTGAAACTCGGCCCGTAAAACCCAACTAGTTTATAATATCAATGTCGGCTACTTATATATATACCATACATGCAACCAACCCTACAGTCACGTTAAGTTTAGAAAACAATTATATTTAATAAAATAAATACATTTAAACAATTCATCAGTTAAACTTAAATCAATTAAAATAACCCTCTAATTAAGTTAATTAAAACAACCAAATAATTACTATAATTACACTAACTAAAATAGAACAATTCAATTAAACTCATAACAAAAACCCCAACAAAGAAAATAAGTAAATAATTGTAATACTCCTAATTTTAAAAAGGGACAGTCCTGGAATTTAATAAATTGTTTAAATAGTATTTTTATTTAATTAATTGTTTAAATTGTATTTATTTTAAAATTAGGGACAGTCCTGGAATTTAATAAATTGTTTAAATAGTATTTTTATTTAATTAATTGTTTAAATTGTATTTATTTTAAAATTAGGGACAGTCCTGGAATTTAATAAATTGTTTAAATAGTATTTTTATTTAATTAATTGTTTAAATTGTATTTTTCTTTAAATTAAATTAATTGTTATTTCGTGAGTTATTTGATTAATTGCGTTTTCTATTAATTGGTTAATTATTGTATTAAATGATAATTATTTAATTATTTAATTGTTTATTTGATATATTTGTTATTCTTGTTTAAATTGTAAATGTTTGTTACTTGAATTATGACTTGTTTTATTATTGTTTGTACTTCTTTATTTTTGGTATAAGTGGTTTAATTGCGTTGTTTTAATTTTTGGTTTAATTGTTTAATTAATTGTTTTTGTTTTAAATAATTTTTTTTTTTTGTTTTAATTAGTTGTTGTAATTATTGATTAATGGTAGGCATTTATTTAATTAAATTTAGTTAGTGTGCACGTGATTGTATTGCATGCATATAGGTTTTTGTATTGGGTTTTCAGTTCAGCCGTCGTAGTTTTAACCTAGTTTTTCTATGGGCCGTGTAGGGTTTAATTGAACCTAAGGTTAGTGGCCTATAAATATTCAAGTAATTTTCTGACTAGGGTTTTAGAAAAAACTGTTACGATATAGTAAGGGCTGAGGGAATTGGAGACGGCTGGGAAGGAAAACAGAAAGCCAACAGAGAGAGTTTCGCCGGAAAACTGAGACGAACGTCGGTGTACGGCAAGTTCTATCCTTACTCTCTCCCTTAGGTTTCGTGTTCTTTGCATTCCTAAATAATTCTAGGATTGATTTAATCAATAAAAACGTTATCTGTTTATACTAGAACTTGATTTATCACAGTATGTGTGTTTGCTTGCAAAACTTGCTAAAACGTGATGTTGCTTGCAAAATTCTCTGTTTAAACCTATGAATGGAATGTAATTAAGACTTAAACATGGACTGGGAACACTCTGGGATTGGATAACAACTTCTGGAAATCATAGCAGTAAGGTACAGAGGGTGCAACGAGCGTCGGAATTGGAGAAGAAGGAGTAGAGAGGGAGAGAGCAGGCTCTCCCTTGGAGAGAGCCGGCTCCTTTGTGTTTAGAGGCGGCTCCCAACATGTGGAGCCGACTCCAAGGTCTAATGGAGGAGGCTCCACATTTTGGGAGACGTCTCCTTTGGTGTTTTTTTTTGTTTTTCTGCGTTTTCCAGTCAGTTTTGCATACAGTTGTTGATTCTGGAGTCTTTGGTTGAGTGTAGAATTGAATATGGAAGGTCTAATTTGTGCACATGGCTAGATTAAAGCTTCAGATGTAGTATTAATTAACTCTATTTGCTTAGAATAGCTTGGACAGTAGGGACTTAATCAGGTAGCTACACTATGTTTAAATCTGTAAATCTAGTAATGTTTAGTTCTCTGCCATAGTAAACTTGTGAGAAAGATGATATAATTGGAACATGTATAACTCTATATCAGGAGCGTCTATCTGAATTACACTTGTCTAGAATATGTTAGTGTTGAAGAATAATAATTCTTAAACTTAGCAATAATGGGATTTTGTAAAATCAACTTAAGCTAAGCATGTACTTATACATCCTTTAGTTCTGTCATGATGCTTGCATTAATATTGTTAGTATCAACTGTTGGAAGAATGGATTTTGTTGATGTTTACTTTAAATATCTGTAATATCAATTGCTGAGGGTTGAATGATAATCTAAAATAATCCTATCATTATACCGGATTATATGGTACAACCTAAACTGAGTAGGTTTATGTAAATATCGTGACTATGTTAATTGGTGCTTATATTAAAACTGTTAGCATCAGTAATGGATATAAATCTGGACATGTTTACGTATATAGTTTAACTATGCGTATTTATGATTACCTGATAACTGTTAGTATCAGTGACGGATATATGGACTTAGTTGATATTTATCTTTAGCGACTATGTTATCAACTGCTGGACGGATGGATTGTATACACCGGTATGGGACGGTGGTATACTAGGGATGGTTTGGTTTCAAAAATACCAAAACCTACCTACTCTGGATTAATAATGGGATTAACTAAAAGTTAAGTCCTATTGTTTGTAGTGTGATGGCAACAACTAGCTGAGCGGCACTACTAGGATACATGACGGATTTTAAATATATTGTTATGGTACCTCGATATGAGCTTGAGTCTCAGGATCGACGGTTAGGAAGCGTATATGCATTGGGATGCATAGCTGGATACGATGGTTAGAGGTGTACCCTGTTTAGGTATAGGTACATATGCCCACTTCGTGTGCGTTTTAGCATGTTACCTCTATTCAGGTTGAGACCGGCCTGTAGTCCAGTGAGAGTCCTTTAGTGTGACTATATATATATTTACGGACTATTAGCTATTGTTGAATTGTTTAGGATGTACATGCGTATCAGGCCTCTATTTGGATTGTAGTAGTATAGAACTTACGCGTGGGCCTGATCCACTTCTATTTTTCAGGTACACGACAGTTCCAGGCTTAGACGTGTTCGTGCTGAGCAGAGGTCTCTATTCACTCTTCCGACGATGTAGGGCTCTCTCTATGGTTTTATTTCTAGATGTTTATTACAGTTGTTCTATCTTCCGTTTGGATGTTTAATAGGGGTCCACTAGAGATGGATTCCCGAGTTGTAAACTGATGGAGTTTTGGAGTTTGGATTATCAGATTTAAGTATTTAATTATTTAAGGATTATCTTTTAGTTTTCTTTTCAGCTTTAAACTTTTATTCTTAAATTTATATTTTTGTATTCTGTGTTCATTATAACATATTAATTGTTTGAGATCCCTCGGATTTGGGCCTGGGCCTGATCAACCTGTGTCTCGGATCCGAGGGGTATCACAATAATAAACCACAATTAAAGCAATAAATTTAACACATATGCACGTCAACAAGTAAAATTGCATTAGAAACAATAAAATAAATATCAGGACTATCCTTTTAAAATTAAGGGTATTACATTTGTTAATATTTTATATATACTCTTTTTATGTTTTATAATTTCACTTATCTCTTTTATAATAAATTACTTTATAATTTTATTCTTGAAATATTTGTTATAATAGTCAAATTTAAGTATTGAAAGGGCAAAATTGATATTTTTGTCACTAATAAAGGAGGCAAGTAAAATTATGAAATGAAGAGAGGTCTATGTGGGATGTTGAAAAACTTCAATGGGGTAAATGAAATTTACCCTATAATTTAGTGATATTTTTTAGCCTTTCAAATTAAAAAGTCGAGAGCTTAACTTTCTATAGAAACATGTTTGTGTATGTGAGTGCGTTTTTTGCAAATGTGAAAAAATATACTGCTTACTTTTTAGAGTGTGTCTATTATAACACTTGCATGAGTGTTATATATTCTATATAAATATGTTAACTTTTTAAAACTCCTAAATACAATGGAATTCATATTCATTGGATTGATCATTTAAGTGCATTGCGAAATACAGGTACATTGAAAAAGACAAGTTCTAACATTTTCCATTAATTCAATGGTCGAAATAATAATAGCGTTGCATATTTGATCTAATACTTTTGTGTCATAAATTTTATGGCATTGCATGATTTGCATCTTGGATTGAGTTGTATTCCAACGTTAATAAATATGTTAATTATAGATCAAACATGATATAATTATACTATATAAGTAAATTTGGTGTCAATTGAACCCATTTAAAAATAGTAGATTAGTTTATCAAGGATGTTGTAATTTAGTGGTTTATTTTCTATCTTCTAAAGTGAATTATGAAAGTTCAATCCTCAAAGATATAAAATAAGTGTGTGAGTCGTGTGTTTATTTTCTTGCCAATAAAATAAGAAAATAATAGATTGATTGTATTATTATTATTGTTATTAGAGTATAAATGACCTAATTATATCATGAGATTCATGACAATCCCCCTATGAGAGGAGGTAAGTAGTGGTGCTATACAACAAGCTGCATCAAACTATGTACAGAATCGAATCGTGCGAATCTCATTATTGTTGTCATTCATGTGGGACCCATTACAATAAGTAATCAACAGGTAGACAGTTACTTGTGGAAATTTTTGATGATTGATGAGAGGTGATACGACTCACATACAGGGTTTCCTTTTCAGCCACAGTTACTCACTGTTTGTTCTTCCAATATCTGGTGAATAGAAGTAATTGAACAACCTTTCAATTTTGTACCTTCTTGTGAGATTAAGTTTTTATGGGTTGGATGTTCCCATACCACGCAAATTAAGTTTAAGAATAAAAAACACTTATGTTTCAAGAATTAGGTTCCTAAACTGCTGTGAGTTGAAATCTATCTGGCGTGATACTACATCACAATATTAAATTTTAATTTATAACTGTCAACACTTATGACTTGAAATTTATGCGTCGTGATATAACATCACAACATTGAATTTTAACTTGTAAGTGTCATGGATTTGACCTCTTTTAAGCTAACGTGTGTCTATAGACAAGTTTAAACGCTCTTGAAGTATCATTAATTCAACTTATTCGAGAGTGTTACCTTAGTAACTAAGTCAATCTATTTGAGTGTGCTAGTTTAGTATTAGTAACTAAAATTAGTGCTTTGCTTATGACGCGTGTAGGAAGAGACGTTTAGTACTAGTAACTAAAATTAGTGCTTTGCTTACTAATGCGTGTAGGAAGAGACTTGGGCGCTAGTGAACGAGATAGCTGTCGAAAGTTGGAACAATCATTTTCCAAACAAACCAAAGAGATTTTTTAATTTATTTTTGCTAAAGGATATTATTACTTAAAGTTACGTCTTCTCTATCAACTGAAGTTGCCCGAGCTTTTGAAAAACATGATAATTTATCTTAAGAAACTAAGAATCCTAAATACTGCATAGAGTAACAGACATTTGTATCCATGATTGATTCAAAACATTGCTTCAAACTACAAAGCCTCAACTTTGAAACCACATTCAAGAGAGTAATCCAAGCTATCCAAAATGTTACAAAATGTAAAGCAGCCTATCCGTCGTGGTCAAGGCCGATTCCCGGACCTCCCAGCGTTAGAACCACACCTTGAAGATCATTTCTAAGCTTTGGATCTCTGCCTAAAGATGGAGTGGCTTTGATAACTGAAGATGGTTGAGTTAGTTGAGCTTGTCGGAGCCCTTGACCGGAGTCTGTCAAAGAGAGTGGTGTTAATTGCTGGGAATGCCTTGGGTTTTGGAATGGTTGAGCAACGGCTATCTGACTTGTCATGGATGGAGGATTTTGACTCAGAATGGCACTTCTTGAGACAACCTCAGGTCCCTAATGGAGAAAATAAGTTTCAGAAGCAAATTAGAACACGAAACAAATATGAAAGAGAGGATCTTTTCAAAAATTGAGAGCTTACCGGAGCAAACAAGACCCCTCTAAAAATCTTTCCATTGACAGTTGCAGTCATCAGGTAACCACAATCGAAAGCTCCATCAACTTTGCCTCGAACCTCGGCTCCAATCTAATGTGAGAAATTAAGTTGAGGCATGAACAACAATAGGAAGTAAAGAAAGACTATTACTTCAATAAAAGTTGAGGCATGAATAACACTAGGAAGTAAAGGAAGACTATACTTCAATAAGTTTGAAAAATATAGTGGCAGTGCAGTGATTATGTGTCTAAAGTTGAATCCTATGTTCAAAACCAAGAGAACATGCACATTCTTTTAAGCAATCAGGATTTTAAGTAACACTGGTTGGGGGTTGAAACAGCCATTTGGTGGTTGAAACAGCCATTTGGTTAGCATATATGTCGCTGAAATTAAAAGGAAAAAAGAATGCAAATTGGTTGCAATGTGCAATGCCATAGGGTGTGTGTGTGTGTGTGTGTGTGTGTGTTGGGGGGGTTGAAGTATTACTGATTATTGAATTAACTTAACAAGTCTTGGAAGATTTGATAGTTTTTACCAGGTTTTGGAAGGGTGGTCCTTCCAAATGTCTCTGTTCTGCTGCAGGGTATTGCGCTTCATGTCTATCCGTATGAACAACGCGACGATATTGTTCTGCCTTTGGCTGCTTTATAGGCTCTCCCAAACAATGGAGAGCCACCGAAGTCCTTTCAGCAATATATTTGGGCTTTTCTTGGTTACTCAGGACATTGTTAGACACGCAATTGCTTGGAATATGATTTTGCTGCTTAAACAAAGGAAAACCTAGAGAAGCCTTGGCAGAAGTCGCTTTCTTCACTGGGGTCTGTTCTTGATCGGATTGAGTTGGAGACGAGTGCTGAGAGAGTGAAAGAGAATGCTCCTCCGGTTCTGATTCTATCTCCCACGGCTTTGAATTGCTGGTTCTTCTCCTCTTTGGATACAAAGCATCTTCAAAACAACAAAAAAATTCTAGTTAGTTGGGGCATTGCATCTCTTTAGACAGTTATGATAAATATGTTACTTCTTCGCGCCAACCTGAATTGAACCTTAAAGAATGCTTTGATTCTGTTTCCATCTTGCGAACTTCCTTTCTTACTAGCTCTCCGTTATTCTCCAAAAACATATTTCTCTGCTGCAATACACACATATAAGCTTACTGCGAATAGGGAAAAAATAAATTTCGATCCCCTGAAATACAAAGCACGCACTTTGTCCCTAAGGGGACTAAAAGTCTTCAATCCTCAACCTACCACTTTTTTATTCTCGGCTTCTCTTGAAAACCTTAGCTTTTCTTGGTTGCCATGCTGTCCGAAAATTTTGCACAAGGAAGTTTCGTAACGGCTATTGGTATGTTTTGCTCCAAACTGCAAAACAACTATCTCGTTGAGAGGACGCTCATCCTCTCCGCACCTGCAAGTTTGAAGTAGCAAATAAAGGAACAGAAAACAGCCATTATTAAATAAGAGGACAGCACTCAAAATGGCAAGTAATCACTGGAAAACTAATAAAAACTTACCCTCCGAAGATCACAATGTCCGTCTCGGTAACAATGGCTGTATGGGAAAACCGCCCCTGTGGTTGCTGGCCGTGTATCTCAAGCTGACTCCATGAACAGATACTTGTATCAAGGACACAAACGTCATTGTAGTATTGCTTCTCCCCCACCCCTCCAATGACATATATCTGCAAGCCATGATGAGCCCAATGACTTCTCTTTTCACAGAATTGAACTGGTTTACCTCAAAATGATACAATACCAGAATAAAACATATACAACAACACATACTAATATTGATAAATTAGGACAAATTTTGGAAGACCATATGAACTGGTTTATGCTATGAATCAATCCAAATGTGACATGTGAAAATTTGGACATAATTTCACTTGGTTCATACAAGTAACATGACTTGCCTTTGCTCCGATATTCACAGCAGCATGACCTGCTCGAACACCGGGTGAAGATCCTTGAACAGCCAACTGTAAAGGAAAAAATGGAAACCTTGAGCTGCACACTCTCTGAACATTCTACGACATATTAATTCAAAATTAGTAGTGTTTATATTTGTGAGAACGAAACTAGAGAGTGCTACGAAAAGTTTGTACCTGCGACCAAGTCAACGTATCCATATCAAGCAGATCAACATCACCTTGATACCGATCACCACAGTCTCCGCCATAGACGAACAGCTTGTTCCCTATTGCAACAGTGCTGTGACTGTCCCTGGGGACAGGAACATCACCCTTCACCTCAGGGGAACTCCACCTCATGTTCTTGAGGTCCAGAATATGTAAATCGTTCAAATAATTTGCCTCCCCTTCTCCACTACCCCCGAAAAACACCAATGTGTCGTCGCCGACGAGTGTGGCAGTGTGACTTTCGCGAGGGGAAGGTGGAACGCCGTTACAATCTGGTTGGATCCACTCTCTTGACTTGAGATCTAATATATGAATGTCATTGACCTTCTTACAACCATTTGTGCCACCAAAGACGATCATCTTATGCCCCACAAGTACTGCACTATGGCTATCTCTCGGGCCTGGCCCTTGTCCACTGGTCACAAGTGTGTTCCAAGCCATTGTATCCAGGTTTAGCACAAGGACATCACTGAAATGCAAACCTCCACAGCATCCCTGAAATGGGCCGACGGAGTGGAAATTCAAACTGTAAGACATGTTAAAACTGCGCATTATCCAAGTCCCATGGCAAGTTCATGATGCTAAGAGTTGTAGGACTTCGAAAATTCTTCTCTTTTCTATCTCATATTGACAATAAGATAGTGAACTGAAAATGCATATGAACTTCAAAGAGAAAACATTTTTAGTAAAAAAATTCTCAAACACGGATTAATTTGGAAGAACAAAAATTTTAAAAAATAATTGAAAAGAAATAAACAGAGATGTGTGTTAGGATGTGGAAAACATCAGAGCCTTTTCCAACCTTTTTAAATTCTTTGTATTTATATAAAAAAAATATATATTATACATTTGCTTTCTACCTAAATAAATTTTATGAAGACGAAAAAAGCTCATGTCTTAAACCACCAGCCAATTTGGGCAAGATAAAAATTAATGAGAGTACTGCAATTCATAAAACAAAGAACATTTGGAAAACAAGAGACTGGAAATGGTTGGCATGGTTTAATATTTCACAGAGACCGAATTTCTTCGCTTAGTTGAGGGAAAACAAAGGGTCCAAACTTTTCTTAAAGATCTTCTTCCTTATGAGTGGTTTTGGATAGATCAATTCAATTATTAGAGCACAAATGTTTTGCAGAATATATTTAAAAAATAAGAAAAAATGATGAATGTCTCCCATGGGAACCAAATATTGACTCATAAATCAAAAGAAAAATGCCAGAGATGATGAAAAATCCTAGATAACATGTATGGCAAGGAAAGAAATTGCAGGGTAACTATGAAAAAGACATACAGGGGTGTAAGGAGAACCGACAATAGGAATTGGAAAAATATTTCCATGTCAAGAAAATCAAGAGTAGTAGTGTGATGCTGCTAATCATGCAACCAAACAACATCCCTACTAATTTAAGAAATTAAAACAAAGGCAAACCAACAAGAAACGAATATTAAAGAGAGAATAGGAAAAAACTAAAATATTTGTAGAAAGTGCACATGTTATTAGCCAAAGATAACCATACCAACAGACTAGAACAAAAAAAAGCATAAATTTTTATCCAAAACAGAGAATAAATAGATTAAATAAAATAAAATAAAAAAATAACAGAGAACATCATGAAATACCAGAGAAAATAACAGAGTAAATTAAGTAAAATAAAAAAAATGAATCCAAATATCATTATCAACGAAAATACACTCAAATAACATTATTATTAATAAATAATAAGTATAAAAAAATTAATTTCTCTTATTTTTAAGAAAGATACATACCCCAAAGACATAGATAAATCCATTGGAGTAACAAGCAGAGTGTCCCCATCTCTCACAAGGATTAAAACCCATGACCTTTGGATAGAGCCACATTGCCTTCTTTGCAACTTCAAGTCCCAGAGAACCCATTCTTTCTCTCTCTCTCTCACACACAGTGACACAGTGAGTTTCTAATTCAAAACCCACTTATCACTTCTTGACAAAGATGAAGAAATAGGGAAAGATAGAAATAAAGGGTCAAAAGGACATGAACAAGCCAACTATCAATGTCAATAGACATGAAAAGATGGGCGCTTTCAAATTCAAATCACTGTTACAACCAACAACAATAGAAGATTGTGGTGAAAAGAATCCGTATTAGTTCTTCTTGACTCTTTTATTAATATATATATATATATATATAAATTTTTCTGAGATTTATATATATATATAAATTTTTCTGAGATATTAAGATATATTATGTTTCCTTACTTTTCTTACTTGTCTAACTAAAAATGATGAAATGTGGGAGCATTAGTTTGTGGGAAATGATGAGAAGGTCTCAGGGGTTTGAGGTTAGGCAGTACAGGTGTCTGTGTGTCACTGTGTGTGCGCGTGAGAGAGAGAGAGAGAGAGTTTTGGGGTTCTCTTTCTCCTTGTGTCACTGTGTGTGCGTGTGTGTGTGTGAGAGAGAAATTTTTTTGGGGTCTCTCTTTCTCCTTGTGTCACTGTGTGCGTGTGTGTGTGTGTGTGTGTGAGAGAGAGGGAGAGTGTTTTGGGGTTCTCTTTCTCCTTGCAACATATGGTTATCTTTCTTTATTTCTTTAATAAGATGATATATATATATATATATATATATATATATATATATATATATATTGGGATTGATGGATGTGAAGTTTTCACTGTCACCAAATTTCAAGGTGGAAAACTGATGTGGATCTGGAAATGTCTCATCTCAAGGGTCTTTGGGCCAAGTGTGTGGGCTTGGTTCCAAGCAATTTCTCCTTTGCGAAGCGATTTGGTATTGTTTCTCTCAAAATGTTGGAGATTTTGTTGAAATTTGATCTCCTTTCAATTCTCTTCACGAGGAAGGATATATTGAGATTATAAATTTAGGATGTCTCTTATGATTTTTCAAACCAAGATTTCTTTAAACCAAGTCCAATTTATAAATGCTAGGATTCATTTTTAGTCATATATATATATATATATATATATATATATATGAGAGAAAACAATCAAAATCTTTATTGATAATGGGTGGTGTGTCAGTGGTAAGAGGTGAGGTTCGCTTTGTGATTAGTTGAAATAAATGAGTGTTCGCTACAGTTGCCATTGTCACTAGTAAATTTCTTGATATTTATTATTGATTAATGTGTTATTTATTGAGATAGATACTCTAAAATAAGAGATTATATTATTATGAATAATAGATTACCAAATTCTAGTTGGGCCGAATCATATGTAATCAGCCCTACCACATATATGTGGATTCCCATGTATTTGATTTAAAAAGTTTGGCCTAAGTATTAATATATAATTTTATTTATATTAAATATTGATAGGTTTTTTTTTTTTTTTTTTTTTTTTTTTTAAGCAAGAAAGGATATATTGATAAAAAATGATGAAAATAAAGTTACACGGATTCAGCAGGAGCCACTGCTACCATTGCATCAGGAACATCTCCCTCAAAAATACGATCATGCTTACAAGTAAAAGCGAGAGAAGTACTTCCGTATGCCACTTAGTTTGCTTCTCTGAATATGAATTGTAACTGAAAATTCACCTTGACTTTCAACAAGTTGCAAATATCAATCACAACTGTGAAAATAGTCATAGGAGCTATAGTGACCCGTCACTGTCTTCACTAAGGTTTCAGCATCATACTCAAAAATCACCTTCTCAAAGCCCCCAACCAATAGCCAAACCAACAACCTTTGTGTGTTTTGGGAGCTAATTTGGCGGATAGAATTTCTTGTTGAATATACTTACAAAACCAATTGATCATTATAACATTACTTTAATAATAAAAAGGAAGGGTAGAATTTTAAGATTTTATACCAACTGAGCATATAACTCAATGGTATAATCTTTTCTTCAAAGAGAACGGGAGGGTTCACATGTATAAAGATACGTTGGCTCCATCATTTTGTTGTGAATCATCATATCCTTACATTTGAGCTCACATAGACCGACTTGAAGTACCATAATTTGTCTCGAGTGACAGACAAATTGTTGTTGGTCATGTATAAATTAAAAGTAATTCAACTTGTATAATTTTTTGAAATATTATAGTTATCTCTCTATTATGATATTAGAGTTTAATTAAAAATGTCTTAGGTTCAAGATTTTTCATAATTATTTTTAACAAATAGACCAACACATAGTACACTATATAAAACAGACACACCACAGTTGAACATCCATCAATATTGAATTCTAAGAAACAAAAACATAATTATAATGACAAGATATCTGATAGTAATATCATAGATAATAAAATATATTATTTTATATAACGTCTTCTTCTAACGTACTTAATTTTTGTATGACATTTATAAATTAATTGCAATTTTATGATTATTTAATTCAATAAATATATAAATAAAAATTTATATTTATATTCATAGCATTTTACACCTAGTCAATATATTATTTTTTATAAATTTAACGAATTGACACAATCATATCGTATTATGTCTATTCTTTCGTCCGATTTATTCTTAATAATTTTGCAACCACATTTGACATATGATTTTTTATTTTTTTTTCTTCTTAAAGTATTTGTATTGATCCCGTAACACAACACATGTAATATTCAAGTTAAAAATACGAGGCGAAAATGAGATTTTAATAACTTATCTTTCATACTTTTTATCAACGCGGTTTTAGAGTGTTTTATGCCATTACTATTATATAAATATACTTTTATGGCTAGAAAATGAAGCTTTTGGCCAAAAATTTGAGTGCTGACAGTGGCACAGTTTAAGAGAGAGAGTAAAGCGTAGGTTGCACGCGACAAACACGGGAGCGTTTTATACAGGTAATGGCGGTAGTGCATTGATTCACGTGACTGACTCACTTTCTTCTTTGTAACTTGAAGTTTGATGGAAAAGAAAAGAAAAGAAAAGAAAATGATGTGAAGTGAAAGACATCCATCTAATCGAGGAACAATTGACACATTGATCTATTATATTTCTTTATTTATGTTGTGTACAACTGACACATTGATTTATTATATTTCTTTATTTATGTAGTATAACAAATGGGATCTATTAAAATTAGGGTAAGTTACAATCACACTCTTTAAAATTTGGATTAATGTCACTCAGCAGATAGTTAATAAATTATTTTACATTGACACCTTCTAAAATTTTAAAAGTCATATTTATCCTTGAACCTGCTAATTGATAAAAACAACCCTAACCCTGACCCTAACACCCATGGGCCATAACCGTCACACATACCGCCACAACTTCACATCGCCATAATGCGACCACCGGCACATCTCCACACTGCCACAACGCAACCACCACCACACCAAACACGCCATACACCACCCACGCAACACCACACCCACACAACGCCGCCACATCAAATATGCCACATCAAGCACGTCGTATCTGGGTTAAAGAAAACACCACCATAACTACACATCGCAACACCCACACGTCGCCTCAACCACACATTGCCACACCGCAACCACCATACCCCGCCACACCACAACAGCCACACACCACCTCCACATAAAAAATGCCATACACTACCCAACCGGTCACACTTACACCCACACCACCATAACCACCGTCATACCCCCCTCACACACACCACGAGTGACGAGCTCGAATCCATGAGCACGGAACGATCTCGTGCGGCACCATCACCGAGTTCTTCGACTCAATCTTCCCAATCTGTGACCAAGTTATCAAATTTTGAGCCTTGACTTGTATAGACTCCATTTTCAACGGCGACCGAAGAATGGTGTTGTCATAGAGGGATTTTGTGAGAGAGCGAGTCGGAGAGGGTTGGGAGGTGAATCGAAGAGATTAGGTGAGTTAGGTGTTGAAATCGATGTCGGTTGGGAGGTGAATCGAAGAGATTGGTGAGTTGGGTCTTGAGATCGATGTTGAGGACTTTTAGAGAGAGTTGAGAGGCGAATCAAAGAGGTCGGCGAGTTGGGTGTTGCCGCCTACACCTCTTCGACCTCGTCACGGCTGAGTTAGTGTCGCAGCCGCCTACACCTCTTTAGAAGAATCCGGGGTCTTTGATGGTGGGGGTGAGGATAGAGGGTGCAGATTTGAGAGAATGATGAAGGTTATTTTGGTCATTCAACTTTATTTTAAAGGGCTAAATAGTTATTATTATTTTTTTGGTGTGAGAGGTCTAAAGGGGGTGTGTATGTATGCATTTGAAACCTCAGGGATGTCAATGTAAACTAGTGCGTTGACCATCCGTTGAGTAGCGTTGACCCGAACTATAGTGATGGTGGTGAGGATAGAGGGTGATGATAGAGGGTGCAGATTTAAGAGAATTATGAAAGTTATTTTGGTCATTCAACTTTAGTTTAAAGGGTTATATTTGACAATTTACACTTTTTATATATTTATTGACCAAGTCAAAGGGCTAAATAGTCATTTTTTCAGGTGTTAGAGGTCTAAAGGGGGCGTGAGTGCAAATTAGTATATGTATGCATTTGAAACTTCAGGGGTGTCAATTTAAACTAGTGGGTTGACCGTCCGTTGAGTGACGTTGACTCAAACCTCAGGGGGTGTGAGTGCAAATTACCCATGATATTATTACAATAGTATTTTTCTATTAAACATTTACTAAAATTTTACTAAAACAATATTATCAAATTTTGAGTGGGGATATTTCTAAGTTTTTAATAAAAAATTATTTGTAATTTTATACATAAATTTTTTCTGAGCGGGGGAGGCTGTCTCCACTAGTCTCTTAATATGTCTGATTGTAAGTGGGGCGTGGGAAGATTGTTAGTGGGATCCACGCAATAGTGATCTTTTCAGATATGTTTGATTAATGAGAAAAACTTTCCTACATCCTAAATACTTCGTTATCGTGCCATCAATCGATTGTAGCCCGATACATAAATAAAACTTTATTTTAGTGGTCATATCACTCAATTGGTGATACCAAGTCACCAATATTTAACACCTTATATTAAGATATCCACTGTGGCATCTTATTATCACCGTGTGATAAAGCCTGAGTTATTTCAGTACAAGAAGGGGGCAAGATAAGGGAGCATTAGGTGTTGGTCAGAAAATATTGTACATGAACTTGCACAGGTTGTGGCGCCGATGCCAGGCAAAAGCCATACTCAAAACCTTTTTCTAGGGCACCTTTTTAGTTGTAAAAATACAGGTAGATTTCAAACTCATGCTGTTACATATGTCATGTGGGAGGAGAAAGATACACATTATGGTCCACCACCAAAGCCCCAGTGCAGCTATGTGCCAGCCTAACTGGTCTTTTGATCTTAAACCTTGTAGGGTTTACTTCTACGACCAGTCATGTGGTTAGAGTGATTAAAGGTTTCTTGAATGGAGAAATGAAAATGCTATTGTGACGAGGGCGCTCTCATGTGGGCTTGTGTCCTCAATCGTTGAATTGAGTATCAAATAATTTTAGACAATTTATCGACAAATAAAGACGCAAGCTCATCTTAAGACCTGGTGCTCTCATTGTAGCATTGCTCGTGGAGAAATGTGCTATGTTGATTTTTAAATTCCCTATTGTGTAGAATATTATGTGTTATGT